TGGTCCACCACACGGATTTCAGCGTCTTTTCCCATTTCAGGACACAAGATGTCATCAGTGGCAAACAATCACGGTGCCTTTGCTCAGCAATCCCTCATATCCCCACAGAAGCCCCCAACTCCAGGCAATGTTCAAATGCCTTTCTACAAACGTGACGCAGGGGGAAATTCTGACCCAGATTGTTACCCCACTGAGCCACCAATACGGCAGCGGCAACATGACTACACAGGATGGTCTCCGCTTCCCGCAGTAAACTCCCCCCAGTGGAATGAGGTGTCCTGCGACACAACAACGTCCCACACAGGCGGACTTCCAGCTGCCCACAGCCTCTTAGCCTTCCCCCCGAAAAGTGATCCCTCCTCTGTCTCCTCTACACTTCCAACTACCACTGTCATAACTAACCAGAACGGGAAGACTTTCACAGCTCCTACCTCTTCCACAACCCCGGCCGCATATCGCTATGACGAACAGCAGCAGCAGCAGCAGCAATATCCACCACAGTACACCCTCAAACGAGGTTCCTCCTATAGTGGTCCAAGGCCTTCCTATTTGGATGGCACAGCTGGAGTGATGACTCCTATGGAATATGTAGACAATCGGGGTGATCCATATCACAGCAAATCTACCGCCTTCCAACCTCTTACAACAACACATCAGACGGATTTGCAGTTTCCTCCTTACCGATATAACAGTGGGCGAGGAGACAAGACAACTATTTCAGTCAATGGATTACCGTCACGAGCTAAAATACCTAGGCGATTTCCGCCAGCAGATTCGACTGCTGGATCACCGCCAGCCAGTCTGGCCTCTTCTGACGGCGAGACGACCACCAGTTCCTCGGCAACAAGAGGAACCAGCTCTATTTCAACAACTGCGGTTGGCTCGACGACGGTGGCTGCACAGCAAAGGCGACCTCGGAAGCCAGCGCCAACTCTCGCTACCGGCCGAAGAAATCTCAAATCAGAGCCAGTAAGCACACGTACACGATTGGGGACAAAATGCCTAAATATGCACATATGCGTCATGGCACATTTAGGGACCACTTTCGTTCGTGTTAGTTCCCAACATTTAGCGTCATTGTTTGAGTTTCTAATGGATTTAATAAGTGTAATAAGGTAATCGATTAACGGAAAATAATGGTACATTTTTCCTTATTTTATTCTCTCACAATGACGTGAAATTTCAAAGGTTTTCCTGTTGCTACGTGTAACTTTACTTCGTTTAACGGGTTTTAGGCATATCTCGGTTAATGGTCGAATTTGATGTTTAACTCAGTTATTTCATTTAGTTATTCATTTAGTTATTCTATTTATTTTCACAGTTTAAATACCACAGCGTTGTGGAAGTTTGAATAATTGGGACGGCTAACTTGCACAGGCTATCATTTACACTCGTTGTTTAAAACGGCAGGAATTGCCATGTCGGGTAGTTGAATTACTGACAAATCCGCGCTTCATTTATCCGCACTAGCTTCTTAAATCCCAAAATAGGCGTTACTAAATGTGTTCATAATTTTGTGAAATAAGTGATATCCTTTGGTAGTGAGTTACTTTCGCTTTGCCAGTTTCGGCATTTCTTGGGTGGGAATTAAAATGTCAAAGTGTTTTGAAGGAACACGGTGGAGCGGGTAAAATACGAACGCTTTTTTCCCCATCGAAGCTCCTATGTGGAGTAGAAAAGAGGGCATAAATTTTGTGGATGCGATAGGGGAATGCGGGCTTGCATGTGTTTTGGATGTCCATGCACGCAACCCCGGTGACGCCGTCTTTTGGACATTGGATAGGCCCTACTTCAAATACCCATGGTAGGAGGGGGGGACTGCTCACCCCTACCCAATTCTCTTTTATCGAACGTGGTGTTAAAATTTGGCGATTTTAAGGAGGGTCCGACAGCCTTTTCTCATTTTCGCGCCATGATTTGAAAACACGGCCGACGAATAAACTACTTAACAATATTTTTTTCAATAATCCCAACCATTAGAATTATATGTGCCCGGGTTTTGTAGCCATCTTAACAAAATGAAGCAATTTAGCGTGTTTTTGAAAGTTCAATACTTTATTTAATTGTACTCAAGCAGAAAACCAACACAAATTTTTAATCGAATCGGTTAGTCGTTCGCCACAGGTCTAAACACTGGTTAAAATCAATTCTTTTGTAATAATTTCTGGAAAGGGAATGCTGTTTTTTTACAACTAAACGGTCGGACATTTGTGTTGAAATTAAAGTAAGATCCATTCTTATCTATAGAGACTGAAAATTAACATAAAGCTTAAAATGTGTCAGGGTTTCGTGCAGTGTGTTCGGTTAGTGAATTTTAATGCCGTCAGAACCTTATTCTTTGGTGTAGTTATATTTGGAGTAACGGGGTTCGCTTTCAAAAAGAGTAATCGGACAACCATCTTTTTTTGTTTTCAGAAGAACCAATCAAAAGGTTACTTGTTGATGACTATGAGGATAACGCCGATTGTTTTTGCTGATCAACTATGCCCAATCACAGGTGACATTAAAGGAAAGCCTAACTGAATCATGTCAGTGCATGCGTGTAAATAAGAGCAACGATAACTTACGCGAATTCAGACTCTCATCTTATGATTCATAGGAGATTTCCCTAATTAGGGTGGATGAGGAGCCTGTGGTAGTATCACGTGTTTGCCACCTTCCACAGGTTGACCCCGATGAAGCCGACAGGAGGATGAAGCGGCGTGAGCGAAACCGGAAGTCGGCGCAGAAGTGCCGTGAGCGGAAGCTCCACCGTACCCAGGAGCTCCAGGCCCAAGTCGAGGGTCTCAATATGGAGGCGAGCCGACTGCTTCGCGAGGTTGAGGGATGGCGTGACCACGCCCGCCGGTGTGTGGAGCTGCTTCGCCAGCACTGTCCAGGCGTCGCAGTTCCGTACCTATCTTGCCTCATAGAGAGTTCCGAGGGATATCTACTGCCGTCCACTGTTAACACGGTTAGCACTGCAACCTCGATAGACCCAGAACCCCTCACTTTCTGCGATGTGGTTGAACAGCCGGACGGAGGCTTCTACAACAAGGGTGGAGGTGGTGGTGGTGACTTCAGTGGTCCAGGACCCGCCGGGACTGCATCAACCGCATGGACTGGGCGAGCGTTTTCACAAGTTGCTTCCCAACTCCCTCCGCTCTCACAGTTTGTTCCAACCCCCCCACCACCACTACCACTGGTTCCCTCATCCGCAACTTCTGTAGTCGTGAAGTCAGAACCACCATCGGGTAGTTACTGGAAGAGCGATGAGGCTATTGACTCCTTTTTGTCGGAGGTGAACCACGAGGGGCATGAAGCGGAATGGAAGACGGAGAACGACACAGACTCCTCTTCGGGGTGCGGGGCCCCCCCGCGACTCAACACGCCCAACACCAACGACGGAGACAAGGCAAGCAACCTGAGCTCGTCATTATAGAGACGAAGTCGTGAACAATGAAGCTGATTGTGCATTTAGTGTTTTGAAGCAGTGCGAAAGAGACAGCTGCTGTGTCTCGTTCCTACTATTGTGTGGGTTTGACTTCATCTGTCTCCTTTCTGCTCGCGTAAATGTTTGTATGCGTTAATGGACTTCAGCCTTCCTTAAAATTAACTTTGTTTTAATATTTGTTTTTTTTACCTTTTTGTTTCTGCCCCTATCGCACTTCCCTACGTTCTTGTTTGCACGATGACAACCCTTCTATTTACAAATGGGCATATCCGGTTATCTGCATCTTCTAGTGCAATACTGTACTTGACTTCCCTGTAATTCCAATTTTAATCACGGAAAGGTGTGTGTGCTTCTGTGCGCATGCACAACACAACTATTTCGGTTGAATTCCACAAGCAGTCGGGCATTTCTGCATCGTTGGCCTCTCTGGTACACACACACACACACCTGCTCATGTTATGATACCCCCCGGCCTCACCACACCGTCGAATTTTCCCCCCAGTGTGCGTGCAGCCCCCGCGACCGGCCAGTTTACGCATTATGCCGCCAAGTTTTATACATTTTTCTACTTTGAATATTCACACGGACGCGCACCTACCTGCGCGAATCAGGACGCGATTTGACGGGACAATCCCTCCTTCATTGCGCAGAGGGCGTATGTACATTGGTGCTCTAGTTATTCCTTTTCTTCTTCTGATTTGTGTATTCTGTAAAAGACATGAACCAGTGTGAGCGTGTACATTCACACAGGGATGCTTGTGTACGACACGCAACAGCTCAAAACGTCGCTCTCCTCCCCCTTTGTCTCCTAGACACCGCTTTCCGTGCGCCCCCTACATGACGAGAGCGGACTGCGTGTTTGAGTGATGTGCATTCAGTAGCACGGAATGTGCCAAGAGTTCCTACCAGGAAAGTACTTGTACAAATGCATTATAAAGTAATTTGCAATATCTAAAGTCTTTCTCTTTGATATTTATTTGGCTCTGTCGTTGTCCTGTAGGCATAGTTAATTGGGGAGACACCTTCAATAACTTGAAAGTAAACACTTTAAAACTCTTAAAAAACATTCATTTTGAAACTTCGAAGCCATTAAAGTTGCCACAAGGAAGCAGGCTTATGGGGATTCTAAGGGTTTATTTGGAAACAACACTGATTCTACCAGTACAACTTGTCAGCAGAATTAATCGGTAAAACTCTGAACGATGGTCGGTCTACTAGAATTTCTTCCATTGAAGTATAATGCCCACAAGTGCGGTTCTGGTTGCAACTCAACTCAGGCCGGAAATTGCTTCGAAGCCTATTCCTTTGGTCGGTTGGACCACGAGTAACGGAACCAAGCAGTTGGAATAAAGTAGACGGGGTATTTCTTCGCTCTGGATTATAAAAAATAAAGGCAACAAATAACATTTTCAATTTGATTTTTAAAAAGTACGCTTTCGTCGTCTTTATGGGTGTATTTAACTTCAACGGTAATTTATTCGTTTTCATGGGCGGTTACTGATGTGTTTCAGACAACCACCCCCTGATTCTAGATCGCTTTTTCGAAGACTGATAATGCCACTTAAACAAGCCTGTCGAAATTGGTCTGCGGTATCTCCTTCCAAGACTCTTCCAGTGTATCCTCCCGCTTAATTTTAAAACGTTTGCCATATGCCACGTGTGACCGGTATCCAGAATCACACACTCACTACACAAGCCCAACCTCTTAGTACAGGACAAAGACGAGAGCTTGTGCAGGGGGCCATTACTACTTCAAATAAAGGCCGAGTAGCATGTCAGAATGAACAGCTTATTTATGGCTTGTGTGACCTTCGCCTGATGGATTAGCGCATATACGTTGAATGTTGAGTGCAGTGACCATTGGGGTGATGTGGTTAAGACAGTGGTGTGAAATGAGAGTAGCTGTAAACAAAGCAGTTACCAAGCCCTAATTCACGATTATAATTGCCTTGGGGAATGTTGACATCCACAGCGCATTAAAAGATACCTGATGAAATTAATACAATCATTTTAAGTCCATTGACCGTTTTGGAGTAGAGAATTTAAATTCCACTGTAAGACTCTGCAAGAACATTAGATAAAAGTTTACATTAGTCTGGCCTTTCCAGTTTAGTCTAGTCTGGCCTAAATAGTTTACACTCAGTTCAGAACATTTAATAAGCCGATTGTCAAAGCCATCTTTCTTTCTTGGGAAACAAGTTGATGAAAGGGTTTTTGGAGATGAGGAACGTAATGATGTGGTGTTTAGTGTCATTTGGAAACTCAACGCAATGATTAACTTCATGTTAAAAATTGGAGGTGGTCAATCCCAATTAGCACTGATCACATACTTGACAACAAATGGTTTAATTCACATTAAAATTCTGCTGCGTTTCCAGGGGAATGATAGAGTGTATTACCCACTACACGATTTAGAGATTTTTGTTACCAGAGGGGAAAGTAACAGTGGCTACCGTATTTTAATTACATTTCTACAGATATCATGCCATCATATAAGTGAAAACCAAATCGTAACAGACGTTTTTAGTGCTTATTCAGTTATTTTTGGGGAAACTAATGCCATAGAGGCAGATTTATATCACGACGACGAAATAACACCTTTAGATTTTCGGCGAATGGAGATCCATCAGCGTAATTGGTAAATTAACACAAAATCCATAACATTTTGCCATGTTTGTTAAGTCTTAATAAAATTTTAATTTAAGCTAAAGTCACGAAATTTCAGGAATATCCTTTGTATTATCTTGTGATGAATTATAAGGTAATTTCGGTATTGACATTTTTAATACTTGGGAATTCGCATTGACTATCGAAATGTCAAAATAATGGAAAACAAATCCCTCATATTGTAAATATATACGACAAAAGGTCCTTCGCCCCACCTGATGAAGACGCACAAAATGCTGCATTAGTATACACACTAAAGCCCGAAAATATTTGCCATTTTAACAACTACGTGGAAATAAGTCCAAGAGGAGAAAAAGAATTATGGGGAGGGAAGTTTAATTTGAAAAACAATCATCAAAAATGTTTTGCTTTTATCCATTCCTCAGGTCAAAGCATCGTTTTAATCTAGCTTAATTACAGTACTAAAAACTAGCTCCTTAATGCGCTGTTTAGCGATTAGTATTTTTTAAATAAATACAGTACTCATATAATTTAATATAATACTGTATTTCCTAAACAGCACTTTTAAGTTGTGAGGGTAGGTAGTGACATTATCATGGATTCTAAACAAAGTGCATAACAGGGAATCAGAAACAAAAAAACTAGAAATAAATCAGCAGAAGAAGTGAGATGTGAGAGATTAACCCATTTGTTTTTAAAGCAATAATTCATTCGTCGTACCCTTTTTTGTTGGACTCACACGAATAGAAATTCGAACAAAGTAAAGCCAAATGAACGATTATAATCCTAAAATGCTTGACTTATGCGTTTTTCAAGACTATCGAAAAAAAACTAAGTAAGCACATTGTTATAATGAAAATCTTATTGCGATACATTTCATTTTGTCCACTACCAAAAAACGCAATGATGAACAAACAGTGAGAGAGGACCAATGGCTTTTAATTTAAAAGCAAATCGCTTTAATTAAAATATTTAGCCTTAGGAGAAATACATTTAGGTTACAAAAGCGCATGAAATCAACAATACAAGACAAGGTCAATAATAACAACAGCAAATGTAGAGCGACGAAATTTAAGCATTGAAACAGCCACACGCATAACAGCATGTATACTCTGTTACTAAAACCACAACACGTAAGTGGTCATAAATTACTCGATCGACGATTTATAAATTAAATTTTGAACACTTATCAAATTACGGTTTCTAGAAACACAGTGACGCAGCTGCAAACCTATTTAAAATTGATGAATTCTTTAATTACTTTCGAATTGCACATGTCAAATCACCTATAGTCTCAGTCATTCTATTGATATCAGTGTCGCGAAAGGCAGCGCAGTTGTTTTACGCAACAATTATCAACAGCGCAGGATTTACTTCGGTGTACCTTAATGCATAGTTTCTGATAGGCTTAAATGGATGTGAGGCGAAGAATCACTCATGACAATCACGATGAAACTAAAGGTGCATACTTGGAAAGCATTAAAAAAATCGACACTTTTGAAAAGTTGCCGAAAGAATGCGTAAAGTACACAAGCGGTGGTGGAGGAGGTACCAGTATAATAGTGATGATTGTTGCATTAAGCCTCACTCATTACATTTGCTTTTGTTGTTGCACTTGTAATGGCGGAACTCTCTCGTTTCGTAAACCCTGACGTTAGTTTTCGTTATTCTGTTGATAACGCACTGGAGGGGTTTGTCCTATTCACATTTTTTTCAATTCCTAGTGAATTACCAATCAACATCGACATGACAGTTGCCATGAGGTGTTCTGGTATGTCTCTAATATGTAAATTATATAGACTTGTCTCAGAGGTGTCTATGGATGTCTTAGATATCAATGGGAACCTCGTTGCTTCGAGTTCACAGGTGAAAGTCATTAATAGCAGATTCGAACTTTCTCCTCGACGAAAACGGAGATTCGAGGTAGCTATCTATTTGCCAATGCATTTTTCCAACTTGATATTGCACGGTATCAACTCTATTTGTTTTCAGCTAAAACGTAAGCAAATGTCACTTCTACGTCAGCAGCACCATTCTGTACATCAGTATTTTTGGATGTCTCGAACAACCAGCAATGAATTCAACCTGCATTCTTTTCACTACTCCCGTGAATACGAGGTGCCGGAATCACAGGCTGATGCGTGCCGATTTGTAGGCACTTTTAAGGTCAGAAAATCACCTGGAAATCTGCACATCGCCACTGGAAAGTTAGTTCTGTCGTAGAGTGATTGAAATAATCCAGCATAGTTTCATGAGCCTACCCTATATCTGATCTAATAGTTTTTTTAGTGATTTTGTTTTTTAGTACCTGTGATCGTTTATACTTTTAAGTATTGAAGTAACCATTTTCGTATGTACTTATGGATAGTCAAAGCATCCATACTGTTGGATTTCAACAAGCGTTGTTTCGTTGTCTTACATTTAACATCGTCTTTTTTTTCTAGAGCATTCGGTCAAAATACAAATGTTCACATTCACATCGCGCCTTTATACTTTAACGGACGTACGTAATATTTATTTTCTTCAAATGAGGTTGATGTGGCTTGTAGGGAAAGAAAGAATCTCTCATGTGTCCAATGCACTTGAGTATGACGTCAAATGAATTATCACTTTAACTGTACTTGCATTTGCTGGTGTATGAATGAGTTACTTAAACATTTAGATGACCGGTCACGGCGGTGAGTCTAATACTTGTTACTACCATACACTTGCGTCCCATTCATTGTTAGAATTTTGTTATTGGTGGCAGTGACTATTTTGTTTGGTCTATTTGTGAAGGATCTTCGCAGTCATCGTTATTAACATCATATGCAGACTGATACAAAACTTTCATTTACATTTTAGCCAGAAATTTTTCACACAGAATACACCACCTTTCATTCGGCAGGCCATTGGGAAATCATATTCATCCACTTGATGCCGAAGAAGTTATTTCTAACGACTGTAAGCAAAAGCCTAAATTTTTGCGTGGTTTTCTTGCTCCATTTAAGAATTCTTTTCCCTCAAGAAACACCGAATAATATCTGCGGCTTATGGTCTTTGACTTTTTTTTAGAATAATTCTAGTAATTTTTCGTAACTTCACCGTGTCTATATCTGCCAGGATTTAGATAGTTAGGAAATATATAATCTTCAAAACTTATACATTCAGCTTCTGTGATATTGACTTAAAGAGATGTAAACGCATGCTTGGGTACAGATACACATGCAAAATTGTTACGGCGGAAGGAACATACCCCATCTGCACTCTTCTTCATATCTGTTGCTGGATCTTTTTCCGCCACCGACCAATACAAAGATACTTCTGTAGTTGGTTCAACGAACAAATGCATCATCTAAAGTGAAATAATTTTTGGTTACAAAAGCTTAAGTTCTCTAAAGACTGGTAGCACTACTATTGTGGAATTTCAATTGAACGAAACTTTACCATACCTTCTGTTCGTCTCTACAGCTACCCTCATGTACCAGTACTTTATCGAGGTCGTTCCAACTACACTCACAAATCGACTGGAGATTCTTGATACCTACCAGTATGCTGTTACGGAACAGGTATTTTGTAGTTTTTTTACAAAGTACACCTAAAACCCAAACGTCAAAAGCTTTCGATGCCTAAAGTCAGATAGAGGATGTCTGAAAATAAGGTTTCGCCTATGCTGTAACAGTGTAAGACCCTTCACGGTGGACAGTAAGTGCTCTTGTTTTAACCCTCCAGGCCCGTTCGGTAAATCGTAACCAGAGCCAGGGGGTACCTGGCGTTTTCTTCCGCTACGACGTCTTCCCAGTGCGGGTTGAAGTAAACGCAACTGGCGAGATGTCCGTAGCGCGACTCCTTGTGCGCCTCGCAGCAATAATCGGTGGTGTCTTCGCCACTGGAAATCTCCTGTGTTTCCTAATCTCCACCCTCTCATACAGTCTCTCCACGCAGATGCTCTTCCGGCGGACATCCAGACCCGGTCTTTCACCTTCTTCCCCCTTGGTCCCCGAATCCGAATCGTAATAAACTCCGCCTAGTACTTTTTAATGACCGAAATTAGGAATTTCCTTCAAACTCATCAACTCATTGTCGTTCTCTGATGTCTAATTCAGCCGTCAGATTGTACAAATCACGACCACCAACAAACAACGCCTCTGATACGCAAAAACCAGACCCACACAGTGGCCAAATTTGTCGTCAATTTGGGGTTTTGCCTGCGGGTGAACTCGCGTCTGGACGTTGTAAAGCGCCCAACAGAAGTGAACACAACCCGACAAATTGCCATGTAGAGTAAGCACGTGAGACACAAGAGTTTGGAATAGTTCTGACTGATGATGATCATCGTAGAAGTCGCTTCCAGTTATAAAAAGGCCCAAAGTACAAGAATTTCATGATTATAATGATGATCACGTGCACAAGTGGTTACAGGGGTTGTGTTGATGTGTTAAAGACAATGTGTGACTAGGAGGTCGGTTGGGGGGTGGGCTGCGAGATGTCAGCGTGCACTGTTGCTGCTGCTGGCCTCGTGACGACGGGACCGGGTGCGCCGACGTGGTTGACGTCGATCGGGGGAATCACGGTGTCGATGCTGGTGACAGGCGCGTTTGTCATTTGGTCGGTTAGTTGCTTCACCAGCGCAAGTCCCCACGCCAAAGGCGCTGCTTGCTGATGAGAGATCGTCGAGTTCCGTCTAACGTAGGAACCAGAAAGCGATTTTTAGGACAAACAAATCACGGAACATGGTGGAATAACACAAACAACTGTGGAATAAAGCGCCCGTCCCTTTGTGACATGATTAGGTGTCAGCGTTGACCAACACGTGAGGGGGTATATGTTCGAAATAACAAAGGTACACGTTGCAGAAAAATTTGGAGTAAAAGTGTCGCCAGAAAAAAATGTTTGCAAAATAAACCAAACCGAAAATATTTATCTGTAGCTAGACGTACTAGATCCAGTTGTCGAGTTCACCAACGGTGATTTTATTGTGCAATTGCACGGACCCCATAAATGTGCAACACGTAAGCAATAACGCCTAGGGAAAATATTGGGCGCTAATTGGGGAAAAGTGTTCCAAATCAAGTAGATCCGTCCAATGCAACTGTTTCGAAGAGTGCTCAGATCACTGCGACTTCACGACAAAGTTAGGTAAGAAAACTGAAACCTTCCAAACAAAACAACGCATGCACTTTGGTCAACTCACGAAGTTTGGTTTATACCCTCATTTGGGGAATCTCAAGTGTAGACTTCGCCCATATTACATTGGTAGTACTAAGAAATCGGGAAATAGATGAGATTCATCAATTACAAAACAGCGCACCAAGAAAATATATACAAGAAAGATTAAGGTCTCTGAGAGCCTCGAGTATCAACCACTGTATTTGTGGAACTATGCCGCCCTGGCCAGCAGAGCAATTATCACGACGCCTAAGGCAGGGGCGACAGTGCTGCATGGGTGGTCACAAGACAAATAGTTTTACACACAAGTGACGATAAGAAGTAGGGCCATTCTGTTGATGGTGAATAATGTGTTTACCCTTCGCCCAAATAATACTGCTTTATTAGTAGTCGAAACAGCTGACCTAGTTCAGCCGTATGACTGGTGGACAAGAGCAGACCATACCGTTTGTAAAATGCGACGATTGTTTGAGAATCCGGAGGCAGAGAGGGTGGCGCTAAATTCGTCTTCGGAGCTCGAAGGAGTCGAATTGTAGTTAAACTTTGGGGGCTCCGCGTACTGTCGCGTGCTGTGCTTAATCTTCTGAGGAATTAAGGGAGAGGAGGCCGCAGGGAGTAGGGGTGATTGCCTTAACCCCCGCTGCAGCTGAGCACGTCCGGTGGGCCTATCGAAGTGCAATATTTGTTTTATGCAGGGTATAATGCAAACCACATACTCATAGTGTAAAATGACATTTGTAATTAAAACCTCAAGTGGGAGATAAGACTTCCTGTTATTGGATTATTAAAGGCAACCCAATCTTCACGACATACATAGCTAGGAGTGGAAGGCGTTCAATGCAAAGTTCGTAAGCAACCGAGCAAAACACCACATCAAGTCACGTATGTCCTATTAGACTCGATGGCCGGTGAGCAAGTAAACGTGCCAAAGGAGAGTTCCACAGATGGACAAAAACAGCCAATCTAAGCGCCTACTATGAGTAACTGCATTTCAATCCAGAAAAGGTCATGTTTTAGATGCACAAAAATTCGTTTACGGACCAGTTGAAGCACTGTCACGCGTTCACCACAAAAAGCTACCAGAGAAAAGAGGTTGCAGTAGAAGGAAACAGCACGAGGGACAGTCATGAAGAGGAAAAAACCGTTTGTTGAGCCACTGGTTCATGAATATGCATAGATGGCAAGCACGAGCAGGAGCAGAGGCAGGATGGACGGTATGCGTGAACAGGCATGTGCAAGCAGGTGGAAGATTAGAGGAAGGAGTCATGCACGAAAAGTGGTGGTGTTTTGTAAGTACCTCCCAGGGGCGGGATCGAGCCTACCTGTAATATTTGTACGGCTGGTGTCCTATGGTGTTATAAGCATGCCAAGCTTGCGGAGAATGAACTGAGTCACAGAGATCCCGCATTCCGTACACGCGTTCCGCCCAACCATTGGAAGTCGGATACACGGGCAGGCGGATGGTGGGGGTTCGGCTAAGTACACATCAAAACAATAAGAACATGTGATAAGACACTGAATACACAGTAAAGGCACCGCACTACAGCAGTCCTGGTTACACTATTGTAAGTAAAAAAACATTCAAAAGAGGCACAAGAGCAGAGCCCATGGCGAGCGTTTGTAAATGCATGACATAAAAATTCAAGGATAAATATGCGACAAGGAATGATACGGAATTCATAGCATTACATGAGCGATTACAGCAGACGGTAGCCGTCAACGAAGCTCCAAAGCATTCCCAGTTACTCACTTATACTCGTAGATCACTCGGGAAGGCATTGTATAAGAGTCGCTAGAGCAATAAGAATGACTACTAACAAAGGGAATACGGCATTTCACATTCTGTGGACCCACAATCGAGCAAAACGACGTTCTTGGATCTAGTTTCCCACTATACGCACCTGCCTAAACAGAAGGACGTGGCTCTAATTGTAATATGATTTTATGGGCAAAAGCTCACAATGTGAGCCCATTCGAGCAGATAAAAAAACCCGGCACCAGTTATCAAATTGCCAAGGCGCCCGATCTCGCCTACCCAGGCACGTTACCAGACTCAGGGTCGGCGTGTTTACATTGAAAGCCGAAATTCGAGTCAATTTACAATGTAAATACACAATAGACGCGCTGAATCCTAGCAACAGTCACTGTGGGCAATCGTGCAGGCACACATGGACAAAGTTCACAATACGATTAGTCGAATTGGGCAAGACAGACTGCACGTGGTTTTAACATAGAGCTTGAAAAGAAGCGTAAAATGGCAACGCACCTTATAGAATGGGAATGCAGAGGTGCGAACGGGTCAATATCCTCCGCTTCTGATTTCCCGATTGTATTGAGGCTATACCCACTGCCGCCACAACTCTCGCAGGCCTGATAATAAATCCTAGGACCAGTGGAACTGCGGCTTCTCCTATGGAACCCTGAGAGTGTAGTTGAGGAACTGGTGTCATCCACTTGTCTAGGTTGGAGTCGCTGCTTCCTGAGGAACTTGGGATTGTAGGTGCGGGTTGGACCAGCGGTTGCAGGACGATGTTGGGGATTCAGCCCACAACCGACGACGGCTAACTGGGGTACTGAACTGTTTGGTGGCTCGTAGTATCGGCTTTTTGACCGGCGGTTTGGACGAATGCATTCTTGGTAAGACACATCTTCACTCGAAGAACTAGACGATGCTGCTACAAAGCAAAATATGGATTCACATACAAATAAATTGGGGAAGGCGATCAATTACGTCACCCGGCCCAGGATGGTGCGAATCAAAATTGTCATTATTCATGACAAAAGAAAATGAAGGACGCTCATATCAGAATGAAAATTTTCCAATAAAACATTTTGAGGGTCAAGGTGTTTAAATGTGACCTTGAAGTACGTGTTTCCTCGGGGTACACCTGGTTCCATTGGATAAATCAATCCACAATTAAAAGGCCTAACGGCATCACATCCTGAATAAGCCAGCAAAGAAAACTATTGGAGAACCAAGTTTAAATCACGGCTTTACCCGAAGACTGAAAACTGGTCTTTTGAGATGTAATAAGTCGGTTGGAATTTAGATTGCTCATCAAAGATGGTTTGTTGGAAAAAAAAAACTACGATGGGCGCTGACATTGAGAGGTCGTTTTACTCAAAAGTTGTAAAATTGGCACGTTCGCCGATTAACGTTAAAAAAAATAGGTTCGACAGGTTTTGACGCCCCAAAAAGCAAGTGTTGTGCAGTCGCACATTTTAGACAATGAGACAAACGAATAAAAACGCATACTTGGTAGCCGCGTTTGCCTAACGGTTGAGGATGACCGGCTCGTTCGTTTCAACGAATGGTCGAGATGAACTTGATTCGGCGTAGCATCCAGATGTGAGAACTGGGTGGTTTTTCTGAAAACAAACGCTTGATGGTTGATTTGGGAATAAGAAAGCTGACATCCCATGGTGGGTTACAAACTGACCGTAGACATAATGGATATCACGTAAAAAAACATAAATACATACCTCCGGGGTTTCCTTTCGCTGACTGACCCAGACAACGTCGACCCAGCCTCGTTTGGTCTGTATTGAAGTGTGGAGGATTTAGCGGACACAGACGCGGTCGAGGCCAGTCTAGCAATACCTTGACGAAGCCTCTGAATGTCCGCCTCTAATGCCTGCGCTTCAGATGAGAGTTTCATTAAGCCGTTTCTACAGAAAACATCAAATTTAATAATAGATAAAAAATGACAAACAGAAGTAGCGAAACGATAATGGGAAATGATCAGTACAAAAAGAGCACCAGTAAATTGTTAACTGGGTGTCTAAAGGACAGTAAAGCCGTTAACCAGTGATTTTCATTGCTACTGGTATTCAATCACTAACACGTGTAGAATGCTGATTAGTAAGTAAGAAAGAGGTTAAAACTCATGTTGTTAACAGTACCCGTTCATGCCGTTGGTTGTATTATTGGTGGCAGTTGCCACCTCCGCCTCCTCGTCACCTTCTTCAAGCTCAGTGGTATTGCTGTGAGAGAAGCTTTTGCACGGCGGCAGCAGAGAGCTGTCAGTGGCCCAAAACCCGCTGTCGGACTGCTGTCGGCGCGATTCGGCGGGGAGGGCGGCGTCCTGTCGCTTGAGCCCGCCTCTTTGGCTGCTGTGGCTGGCCGAGCTCCCGCCGCTGCTGCCCGAGGGGGTCTGGGGCACACCGCTGTCCGGTGTGACGACATGCACTGCCTTGCAGGACACCTCATTCACAGTCTGGTATGAACAATGTAAACCGCGGTAATTGCAAATAAATAAATACCGCTAGAGCGATAAAAAAATAAGCAGGTTGAGTTGTGCGTTAAAATAGGTCAATAATCGACCTTTAATCAAATGGAATGTCATTACCATTAACTGTAAGTCTTAAAGTACGATTTCCAAATAGTTATCACGTAGCTTCTGCATAACCATCAAGAAAAGAGTTCTTGAAGTTCTAAGCTTTAAATGGGCTTTTCATAATTTATGAACGTCACAGGTGCAAACTTATAACATTTGGAAGTAGTAATCAGAAATCACGACTGTCCAATCAGAAATAAGAGAATCAACTGTTACCTAAGTCCTTCAACGATCTTCCAACATCTCACATCGTTAACTTAGTAAGAATGAACAAAAATGGGAAAAAATTCCGAGGCCACGGATTCGAGAATTACATCAGATGCAGCGACTTATTGGAGCGACTTGATAGAAAAATACAACGAAACATGGCGGTCGATCCCAGTTTTTTCAAAGCACTATTTCAAGCCTATTTCGGCCGTCCATTGAGAGGGGGCATCCCAGCTAGACAGTGCACACAACAGATGCTTAAAATGGGAACTTCAGCAGAACTTGGTACATAATGGGCTATTCTTGATTCAACGAAAATTCGAGAAGTTTGCATTTGCTAAACAGCTCTAGGCCGTCCGGTTTCGCATTGGAGAAGTATGCACTACTTTCGGCTGGGAGAATCCAAATCAGCTTACGAAACGTGTGTATACGGCTGGAAAAGCCATCAAGTGTTGTGTTACCTTTTCATGTTGGTTAACTGCGAACTCAGCGAGGGAAGCAATTTTGAGATCACAGTGACCTACCACATCGTCGTCCACATGTCAGCATGTTTCACAAGCGAAACTCCGTAACTTGTAACTAACTAGGCATTGCGCGCAAAAAACAACGAGATTGAATGCGTCAATGGCTCTGAACAGGTTATATAATTTCCTAACGTCCTTACATTCCGCCGTATAAAGATAAAACATCACCATATTGGGCGCTCGGATTTTTATCCGGCTGCACAAATATCGACTTTTTTCCACGAATAGCCTTTGGTTTTGGGTTTATTTGGTTTTAAAATTTTCCGCAAAATTATACACCCAAAGGGAGCAGCTATCGGCATTCAAGAAATGAAATGATGGGATGCGGTGCTAACGAGGGCTCAAAATGCACACTTGCAAAAGACCATGATAACAATTTATTAGAAGTGGCTCACAAGTACCATATTTATACAAAAAAGCAAAAATCGGACAGAATTCGGGATGTTTAGTCAGCATCATGTTTCAGAAATACCACGCCCCTAAATACAAACAAACGGGGAGATCATCAGTCGTTCAGACCAGTTAAAAAGTACTTAAAAACAATGCCCGAATCCACGGCAAAATACTAGACAAAGTGGTGAGAGTGGTGGCTCGAACACCGGCACTTTTAAACTGCCCGGTGTTTAAAACGATACCCCTAGAAAGGTTGAGAATATCGTTAAAAAACCGTGGTGGTAAAAGCATGTGCTGACTTGCCACGACACGGCGAACGTAGGGATTTACCCACATACCTCAGAAGCAGTTGACTGTGAGGAATTTTGAAGGAACGGACGAGATGATGAGAAGTCGTGATCTGTGAATAAGGAAATACGAAAAGTGATGAAGGCGAGGCGGCGCTAAAGAATGGCATTATGGTCACAGAATGGACTAGAAACTTACCCCTGGGGCCCGTGCTACTGCAATGGGCACTGTAATCCAATTCAAACATGCGGCGGAGACTTTTAGGTGGGAAAATGACAGAAGACTGGTTGGAGTATCGGTTTGCCAACTGTAGCATACGCTGAAACATTAAGGAACAGTTTGGTGGACTGATATTTCTACATTAGTAGAATGGACTCGTGGAGTAAAGGCATTGCATTCTGTGAAACCCTTCAATTACTTTGAAAACGACAAACTTCGTCGGGTAAAACTTACTTGAATAAGCGACTCTATATCCTTCCCATGACCGGGTATCATTTTTAGTTTATTATAGCGCGCCAGAAGTCGAGCAAAGTGAGTTTCTGCTATGTCCTTTGAGCCTAAAAGACAGCAAGGCAGTTTGTGAAGTCCTAGGCTATCGAAACGATCATGAACTAAACGAGTAAACTACTCAATAGTGGGTTTGGGTTTGTCTTCGCATAGAATATGCAGAGAAAATGCGTGATTAAAGTCATCGGAAGATTGAAATTTGCACAAACAGATGTTTTGACCGAGCGAGGTCTATAAGGCATATGTTAAGAGGAGAGTAAAAGGGTTCAATAGGCGAGATGCCCGATCAAAACGACTATAACGGGAAGGCAAAAAGTGGGGTCTATGAAGTGGAACTAGGGTGATTGGAAAATCGCTGCGACGGAAGACCTAACCGCTTGTGAGCAACCAACACACACTACAATCGGGTGCATCATAGGAATATGTGATGCACCGTGTCAACAATTCACCGACGTTTCCAAACGAACACCTTTCGATGCACCTCAGATAAGCCCGTGCAAGAAGCCCTGAACACTTGTGCCGAATTATTCCCATTCCATCCTCACATGATTACACTAACTAGAAAGTTGAGTTTAGGGAGACAAAAAGCCGACTTAGAGCTATTTTAGGGCATTTTACAGGTAATAGATTAATCAAAGCCCGTGAATATCGAGGAAAATCCGACACTTGCGCCCCTTGGCCTGCAGCCACCTTTTCAAAAAAAATACAGTCGTACGTCCCTAGTTTATTTGACCAAGAAAACAACCGAAAAACAACTTGGAGACTTAAATATCATTTTGCGAAAATGAAAACAAACTTACTTGCACCCACAATTGAGTTTAAGTTGGTTGGATTTACGACTGATGACGGAGCCTCGTGTCGCGTGTTTTCGGACCCAGAATAGCCTGAGGAAACTGAAGTGGTCAATGTACATCGGTCTCTTGTGACTTTGAGAGACGATGGTCGAGTTGGCGTACCATGGCCGGAGACCATTTGTTGCAGTCGATCCGACAGAAGGCTAATACGAGACGCGATAGCGGTCTCCACGTCGAAAGGCTCATCTGTACAACACACATTTGTCAGTTAGAGAATAAGCTAAGGTAATCTGGCTATATAGCGTTGAAGACATAGTGATAGATACCAATTCCAAGTTAGAAACACTTCAGCGTCCTGAGTAAAAACAGTTCAAGCTTCTGAATTCGTAAAAACATCCTCCCAAAGAGATTAGAATCTTGATGATTGTGGCGCCTTCAAATCACAAATATTTGCTCACTCTATGCAACTCAATAGCCAGAATAATATGGGTTAGACAAGAATCTGAGCTGATACACACGAAAGCTAAGGCCAAAATCAACTTGCCACTGGAGTGTAAGCGTTGCTCGGCCAGGTAGCGACGCTTAAGATCACTGAGATCACGTTGAATTGCAGCGAGTACATCGTCTCTGTGGCTACTTGAGATGTGAGCATCAATTGCGTTCAGACGATCAAAGATTTCAGTGAGAGAAGTGTTGAATCGGCCTTCTAAGGACATGGCAGCAGGTTGAGTGGGTGTATTGCAGCCAACTGCAGGTTCACTTTCTAAAACGCAAAATTCTACTTTACGACTGTTAGTAGATATGCTTTTGAAACTGAGGGAAAACATCACAGGAAAGTTGTCGTTTGATCCACAGCGAGGTGTCAGAAGGACCATGCGCAGCAGTGGTTGGGCAGACCAAGAAGACGAAGACGTGTGGTTCCGTAGTAACATGATTATTTGCCTTGCAGCATAGTTATCTTTCGGTCCCAGACTAGGATGATTCCATGATGCATTAGCAATACATATACTCATCCATTTGAACATTTAATAAGTGATACTTAGGTTATGCACTTCGTAACCCGGGTTATAGAGTATTGCATTTCATAACATGCTGCAGTACACAAAACATCGTCGGTTGCCCTATCATTCATTAACCAATATACAGGGGGACAACGGACAGGGCTTAAGGAATGCACAACAAATATATTTCACTAAAGGATTCAAAATGAGACTAAATGAGAACTTTTGAGCAACAACTGAGAATCAGAGTGAGTAGGCACCGTGCTACTTGAGGCATCGCGTGCATTTAATTGGACGCGTGAGGGGAACGCCCACAGGGCAATCGGTGATTTTTTAACGCTGTGCGCAGAACCTACCCTCAAAGAACTCGTGTTCCGAAGGAGCAGAATCCAGTTTGGGCAAGGTGGGCTGCGAAGACACCAGAGATTCATTCGAAGGGCACTGCCTAGTAATAAAAACCACAGAACTGGCTGAGTAGGGAAATCGTGGGTGCTTTTAACGAGAGATGCATTTCGGCTGAAGCAGGTTGAGGATCAGCAAAATTTCACGAGGAAAAAATGGATTCTCAACTCGCCATGTGAAGTATGACTGAGAGAAGAATGTAAATCCTTAATGATTGCTACCTAACCTAATGTTCCCAAATGCTAAAATTTCCCGTTTTTATGACGTCGTGCCATAAAGCGTTTCGCCGTAACCGCGGCAATTACCTGTTATACCCATGTACGCAGTCGCAAGTGTGAGTGGCAAAAACACGGGAAATTTGAAAGAAAAATAAACTAGAACACCAGTCACGCAAGGACTCTGTTGTATGCTAGTGAAGAATTTACAGTAAGAAATTGGGAAGTGAATTGACAGAAGCTTTGTAAGCTTAGATGCGGCCCATGGCTCTTACAGTTTCATCTACAAGTTACAGAACGCCGTGGTGTGTTGTCAGACACACGTAAACCACAACTAACACTAAAAGGTAAATATTTACTCGAAACGTTTAATCATACGAAAAAACATGGACAGGAAATTTATATTAACCTAACAATTACAAGGGTAAATAGCAAACAGTTATAACTCTATCAAATGATTAGACGTTCATGCAGTCGAAATTGCGTAGTTACTGTAATGAATCTCAGTGATTCACGTCCACAAACTGTGCCGTCGACGCACCCACCTCTCGTCTCAGCACCTCAACCGCTCACGCGAACACGTTTGATCACGCACTCCTGTGCACACACCTTACCTCGATGATATTTCACTCGAATGCTAATGGTTAACAGGCTCCATCACTCTCTGGCCCATCTTGTGGATATTTACAACAATACGGTAAGACGACCACCAAGAGTTGAGCCAATCAAAAAGCGCTCGCCTTAGACAACTCCTGTCTTGCTCATCCTAGGCATCCACATAGTTGCAATTGGGCCAATACCACATGGTGGCCGCAGTGTGGTTCGGGACCACTACACCACAACCAACGCCTCCACAAAACCATGGACTGATCCCTCATCATATTCGGTCCTCAACCAAATCAATAAGCCATCATGATATGAAAAATGAGTAGCGATGAGACGAGTGCACAAAAACCTGAACACTGCAAGAAGTGAGTCAGCACTTGCAAACATTGCGTAGTTTCTGAATATAAGCACTTAATGTTTGAGCGCCATTACGCTAAAGGTTAAGTATTAGCACATTCAACTCAGAAATCAGTCGATACACACACGTGGCTAGTCACACACGCCAGGCCAGCTGACCGAACAAGTAATTAAACCTGCGTCCATCCGTGCGAATTAGTTTGTATGAAACCCAATGATGCAAGGACATTGGTACAAAGCAGCTATCGAAGGGTACAAGACATGGTTACTGCTGAATAGCGCAGATTAACTTACATCAGCTGACCAAGCGGGGCTGAAAGAGGCAAGAGGTGGACCTGAGGCTGGATTGCTGATTTTCGCATAGGCTGAAGGCTGGTCATACTGGAATTATTGGAGTTGCGCAACTGCACAAACGGCTTATCATGAAGATTTGCCAGTGATGCACAAGACTGGGGCTCAATATTTCTCAAGAGACCATCATGAGGGCGTGTATCAAGCGAGGTGCTGATAAGTTTCTGGTTTCGCAAGGTTGACGGACCACTACGACTCATCGGAGAGGCGCCGCCACTGTCAACACCACACCCAATTTTCGATCGAAATCGCAATTGGTCAATGGTCATCTCGGCTGCTGCGTGTTTAGCCAAGAGGTTGTCGTAGTAGCGTTGCAACTGGTGGATGTAGTCATCCTGCTGTTTCCTTGTAGCTTTTTCCTTAAACCGAAACAAACGGACTCACTTTCGAGCAATACACCTCACTTTATAATGCAGAGGCCTACAAACAACTGTATTTAGTGTGACATTTCGGTTGAAAATGAGACGCATTATACGCACGCACGTTTGTAACTGTTGTGGTTGTGGGCGTCTGTGACTTAAATTACAGAAATTACTGAAACAAATTAGATGCATAAGAGAAAACAAGAGATTTCATGCCACGATTTCCATTACAAAATTTGGGCTGCGTTAATGTAATAGTCCACAACGAATTAACAAGATTTGTGAATATTTTTCAGCTAAAGTGAGAGAGATACGCCTACACAGAAGTTTCCAGTTGAGCTTAAGCTAGTTTGTCACAAGTTACGGTGTCAGTCAATATCTCGTGATGCTTTTGATTCCTTCAGATACCCTGGGGCTCACGTATTGTCAATTCTCGCAGAAGCCCCTATGCGCACTACCTACGACTCGAGGAGCACAGCGAACAGGCCACCACCACTCAAGCACAGTGGCTAAACGTCAAGGTGCCTCCGGGACTTCCGTGTACACCCAAAATCGGAGTTTTTACAATCTACAAAAAATTTCGTGGTTATCTTCGGCCCTGATTGCATGGTGCATTTGCGGGGACTGGTGACCTAGGTGTCGACCAATGACAGACTTATGTGAGAATTATTAAACAAGGCGGCAAATTAAGTTGGGGCTTAACTCCATCTCCTCCTCTTCCTACTACTACCACTTCCACCACCGCAAGGATGTCATTTTGCCCCGAAGGATGCACAGTATATGCAGCGGTGACCACACTAGAAACCTATTACAGCAGATCACGAACGCGAAGTATTAACACCAGATCATCATTACTATTGTACAAAAAAATTAATTTGGGGCAAAATCATCACAAGAGGAACCGTCACTAGAACAAGCCATACCTGATTCAGTTGGGATTGAAGCTCCTGTACCTTGGCCGAGTTTTCAGAAACTTTTGGAGTACTTCCATTGCTAGTAAATGTCGAAGGGTTTCGGAGTTTGACTGGTCTAAAAATAAAGTAAAAACACATGGATTCATTAGCTAGTGAAAAAGTAGACTCGCAATTAACAGGTTGGGGTTATTAAGGTTGAACCAAGCTGCGAGGTGTTGGGTCTAGGGTGCATACTAGTTATAAAAAATTAAAATTAAAAATGCAATTCCGAGGGTTAGGGTTAGGTCACGGCAGGGGATAGGTCGACGTGCATTAGAGTTTACCTCGTTCTCTTATGACTTTGTGATCGTTAATCAATTCCCCTTTTCTAGAGCATGTAACGAGGTGAAATGTGTCATAAATGATCCTAAAACTGGCATCCCTATTGTCACCAGATAGCTATCAAGCTATGCGTGAACAGCCTTCTTCGGGGTCTAAATAAGAAAAAAGTCATACGTGACAAAATTCAGGAAAAAAACCCTTGTACACAACTAAATAAACAACAACAAACGACATAATCGTGCACACAAGCCCTGCACTTGCTTCATTACGCTTGAAATGTCAGCACGTGTGGGGTGCTGAATCTATCGCCTTACATCTAACGGGACTGGAACGAAAATGAGAAAAGTCATTCTACTGCACTTTACCAAGCCCAGATTACTGTTTTGCCTCTTCGTCACAATAGGTTTTTACTAAGGTCAGTAACCGCGGACGCGAGAAAAATCTACCACACGCACAAACGAATGACTAATCAAGGGAAGGCAACTGCCAATCGCGGCTACCGGCATTCACCATACGCGCAACTTCATTGCCTGGTGGGTTACACCCATATCCACGGACGAAAGCAAACAGCTTGCGTGGTGGTAACAAAATGAACAACCCATCGCATGGTGTAAGCAGAAGCGGCCAGAGAAAAGGGGATGGGGGACGGTTCAGCCAGTGGGATCGAGTGTACGCGCGTGACTCACGCTTGCATGGGGGGGGGTGAATCATTGCCTCACCACATTCGGCTACCTATAACAACTGTGTTTTTAAAGGTGCGGTGATTCACAATACACCGAGAATGGCATTTTTAACACCACAAAACTAACCGCACATTTGTCTTGATAAATGTGTGGATGATATGCCATGGAAGCCGCACACATTTGAAAACACTCGCATGTACCGAGTTTTGTCGGCAATCCCAGGCCACGAATTGCAAAATCGAGGCGGAGACCGAAAGAGGTCCTTTTTCGTAAAGCGTTCATTTGACCCAAACTACACACGCGTGCAACACATAAATAGCTGACTTAATATGGGGGGGCCTATTGCATGGCATCGCGGTACAAATTCGGGGGTACGCGTGAAGATGAGAATGCAAGCCTGGCTGTGAACCCAATGAGACGCGAGACTTGACCAACATCACCTGACAAACCACGGCACATCAAAAGGAGTTCTGAGAAATGTGTGGCGGTTAAAACATGATTTCAATAATAATACTGGATTTTTTTGTAAAATCATTAGAAAAGAAGTCGGGAACCATTAGAAGACTATGCCGGCAGAGACTGGGGCCTAAGAGACATATAGTCCTCGTGATAGTACTAGAAGTAACAGGCACACACGGTACCCACGAGTACACATGTGTAAACATACGCTGCACACGAAATAACATCCAGGGCTAGAATTAATTGCCTCCTTAAGTGCACAAAGTGGTCTGATTGAAGTGTACGAAAATACCAAAAAGGAGCGGGTTACAATAAAAACACTTAAGTGGTAGTCCAATATGCCTAACGAGAAGGCTGTGAAATTCTCTCGATACCAACACTTTTCGGTAGGCTGATGAATGAAACAGAGTAAAATTTGCCGCATAAACGAAAGGCCATCCGAGGTTTAAAGTACTACGGTTCACGTCAAGGGAACGGCTCCCGTACTTTAAATTAGCATCCAAGGAGGAAGTGAGGATAAGCTATAAGTGGACCCGACTATGCACAAGGGAGGAGACCTACGCAGGTAGGATATTTTAACATAAGGTGCGTGCAGCGAAAAGAACAGGTGAAGGCACAGTGCACCAAAAGCGGAAAATGGCCCTCGTGTAGTGCAGAGGACAGGTGTTTTGGGAAATGCAAGTCTGGCGCATGATGCGCACTTAAGCCACCTACACGAAAGCGGTCGCAGTTTAGCGGATGGGCAAAAAGGGACCCGGAGTACACGAAATCACACCTAGAATTGGCGTATCATCAAAACACTGGAGACAACTACAGATCTTCGAGCGTATTTGCTTATTATTTATGCATGTGGAAAATGCACGTAGGACATGTATCCCACACGAGGCCTGCAAATATATCAGAATCAAATATAAAATTTGGCCTCCAGAACAAGGAAATCGCAATAGCAAAGTATCTCAAGTACTGGATGGATCGTACTGGAGACAGTTAAAAACTGACAAAGATTATGATGGCAAAATAATTGTCCAGACGTAGTCAGCGAAAACTGACAAGGCGTGTAAGGAAATAACAAACACTAAAAAGATCCCAAATTCACTAGTTTTGCTGAGGTTGACGATTTGCAGCCTTAGTTCAGATGTCTACTACAGTAGAAGGTGCATGAATGAAAAGTAAAACAGCGTAACTCACTTCTCAGGAGAAAATGATGAGGACGGAGACAGTTCAGAAATGCGGGAGATTCGATCACCATTAAAATTGTCATTGCAAACCTTAATTGCTTTGGTAGCAGCCGTTGAAGTAGTTCCGTTGACATTCTGGTAGTAAAATAATTTTCATAACGGTTAACACTTAAAATATTAATGACTCGTGTTTGTTTTAATAACGACAACTAGAAATTACCGATCAACCCAAGGTGCCAGTTATCGAACAAACAAAATACGGAAGGGTGGTGAAAATACATGACTAAGGGTTGGCTTGTTACAGGCAGTACCACGGAATCTATAGCCAAGTTCTACCGCACGTTGCACAATACAAATTTTTAGCGCATTCGAAATTTGTGTATTTGAATGTAGATGGACCGTTGAATCACTGTAGTGAATAAAGTTGACAGCGCACATTTGGAGCTTAAACAAAAGTGAGAGGTCAGTTGGGAGGATTTTCAGGAATTGGGCGTGTGACTGCATGAATTGTTCATTAAACAACTACACCAGAATTAGTCTTTTTAACAATGTGAGAATCGATGGATGACCATGAAAGATGTACAGGAGAGTACTCAGAGCGAACGATCAACTACGTTATCCGCAGCTTAAGCTTACGAAACTCAAGTTAAACCAAGGCAATAATGTCGGCCGTTGAATACCACAATCTCGAATGTTAAATGGTTACAACAGTGGCAACGTGGAGGTTATGGATTCTGTCAATTAACGAGAGCACAAAGCGTAATCAAAAAGTACAACGTTATTAGTTTTATGCCTTTTGATACACCATCCGAGTGACTGGCCAGACATAACCTCCATGGGAAATAAACATTTTACCTAAATTGACAGCTATTTTTTCGAGAAAACTGATAATATTGTCGTTGTGTGCCAGTGCTTAGACGAAAATTGGGATGGTCCAGGAAACACTTCAGAAATTTCAAATGCTTACCTGATCTGGAGGAGCCCAGTTGATACCATTGGCAACCATTTGAGTGACTACTGAGTCGTAGGTTACAATCGGATCCTCCACTACTAGAGGGTTAGCTTTCGAGGGACCAACAGTATCCAACGACCCACTAAAACTTTCTGAAACGCTCTCATGGTCCTAGGAGACAAAAGACTCAGTGTAAGACTTGCAGTTACACCATGAATTTTTCGGGAACAATAACATCAGGAATAAATCGACAATATTCTTTAAATTGTGATATTCAAATGGCAATCAAAGGAGATAGAGATTCTATTAACTTGAAATACGACGTTTGATAGGCATTTCAGTAGAATATTTGATTAGAAAATCAACCGAAACCTTAACATGAAAGTGTGTAGTAAGTTGGCCAAAAGCGGGAGCAGGTTGGGATAAGTGCCAGCTAGAATGCCTTATTCAATGAATGAAATGTGAATTTTGAATTGAAAGAAAAACCTGATGGAATGGGGCACCTGAAAAATTCAACACGCCTACAATACTAACACTGCAATGAGTACAAGTGACAAGCGCTTTTGTGTTTAACAGACCTGAACCCGGCAAATATATACATGCGTGTATAAATTCGTAAAATTAGAAAAGCACGCATTCTGAATACCTATGCATAACCTAGCTGTACATTACGTGAGCGGTTAGAGCGAATCACAAAGGCGGAGTCTCGCCTATCAGAAATGCGGATATGTGACCATTGAGGAAGGGTGATTCGCATATAAGTCACGTGACGTTACCCGTTGGACTATGATCATCGCCTTAACACTGTTCGCGTTAAGATGGATAAACTCAAATCACTTAGACTGAATAGATGGCTTAATGACAGCTGAAGTTAACACTCGATTCTGTGACATGGACAGAAATTTACTTTGTAGCCGACTTCAGACAAGCTTGTCCACAAATTTGTCGAAAACGAAATCAAGCCAAAAGTGTGAGTCATAAATTGTAAATCAATTTTTAAGTGTTACGATACAGTAAGTACCCCGCCTAAGTTTAATATTAAGGTATTCGTGTGAACTTTAGCAAATAAACGACTATATCAAAAATTTGTCTTCAGCATATATAAAGGATTATTACAACAAGCGATTCACCTAGGCGCATGTAAAAAAAGGTGAGTCTTGTCTCAATAAAAAATAATTTTATTACAAAATCGGTGTAGTTAGAAGAACAAAGGCATTCTTACCGCTTAAAGGTGCTCATTAATTGAGCAAGTTGATGGAAGCTAGTAACGCCAATAGACTACCAAGTCAAAAGCTGCGCAATAAACAATAACCCAAAAACTCGTAGCGCATGCCATGGCTTACATAAAAAAGTGCCGTGGCACATGAAATGTAGACAGCATGAAACAGTAACGGCTATGAACAGTTTGACATGGTTTGATAAATACCAATTTCCGAAAATCTTTTAGATGAAAAAAATACGGCAAAATTACGACTGACCGAAGACGGATTTTCCGATTGATACACTAGAGAATTCGAATTGGCTTCCGGTGTAAGCGTAGACTCAAACGCCTTAAACTCATCGAGGAAATTACTATCAAAACTGCTTTGAACGGCAGCAGATCCGATATCGTCAGGATTCTGCATTAGGCAGTCTAAAACAGTCATGTTTTTTTTAAAGTTAAGCAACCAACAGGAAACACTACAGCGAAAAGTGTATTAATTAAGTTAGATGCTACCTGAAAATCAGGTAAGTAATGACGAAAGACCAAGATAAAAAAAATGAGTGAGGAAATTAGCAAAAATACGTGTTTAGAAGCAAATATGGAAAAATCTCAATATATAAAAAGAATAGCATGTGTTTAAATGTCTAATGGACAACTAAGTAAAGAACTGGAAAAGAACCCACTTTATATTGGTGAGAATAAGAGAGATACGAACTTCAACTAAGTACAAAAATTAGCAAGAGGTCCAACACCGTTACGGCCTTTTAAATACTAGTAATTATTCCTTAAAGTCTTGAACAGGAAGATTTTCGATTTATGAACTCCATAAAAATGCAGGTTTTGAAAAGCGCATCTGTAAGTTACAACATCCAGAAAAATAGAATAAACACAAACAGAACACAGGGGTACATCAGTTAATTTGGGGAAATTAGGATGTCACAAACGTAACTGTCACAGTTGATTGAAGTTGTTATTGTGCTGCTTAAAAAAGTCTAGGGGATAAAACAAGCGCACCTAATCAACAAAAGCAACTGATTTTTAAGGAAGGCGCAGTGCGCAAGAAACTTTTAATTGGGATTAGAGTAAGTTAAAACAAATATGTAATTTTTACTTAAATTATTCTAAAAAAATGATTATTAGCATTTTTCGTCAAATCTATGTTAGTCAAATATTAACCAATAATGGTTAACATTTGCTATAAAAAATTATGGCGAATTCTCCACCTTCAACGGTGCCAAGTGCATTGCATAAATGTAAACAATTTAATGCACGTATGAATCTGGCTTTCATAGCAGCACCCGCTCATGCCACTTTGGAATTTACTGTAAGTGCGTTCATAAGCAAACTTACACAGTTTTGATAAACATAGAAAATTTAAAACTTGAATATTAAGAAAAATAAATAATTTATAATTTCCCCTTCTCAATTTAATTTATCGTAAGCAAGCATATCATCATTTCTAGTCTAAGTACAAGCTGTGTTCAATTATAGCTTCAATAAACATAGCCATTGACATTTAACACTATGACATGACCACAGTCCCTTTATTGCAAACAGCTTACTTTGCGTGGAGTATTTTGCACATGTGTGTATTTTGAGTGGCTAAAAATGGATTTAATAGTTTTGATATGAAATTTAGTTTGAGTAGTAAGGTGAATTAAATTTTGGGCCCGGAAAAAAATTAACAGTTGTTAGGAGACACAGCCGCTGCACCTCAGTTTTTACCTATCGCATCTAATTGTTTTTATGTCCAATAACCCGGTCGTCACCTATTCGTCACGTGGAACTGTTTACCTGTTTAGCCCATACTATGCACTACCATCACGCGTTTTATGCGCCTATCAATTAATACGCTTGCTTTCTTTTTAATTCACGTAGATGCATCAGTCGCAAGGGACACACGAGCTGTGCGCAACGCTTAATGTACACCGATGTCACTAAACAACTTCGTTAAGTTATTTAATATACTGATTCTCGTAAGCCTCTCTTGTTTTATTTATCTTTGTGGATATCAGAGTAACGTGATCAGGCCAGATTTAACTTTACGGCCCTGGCCTGGCTTTGGTTAGCATACCGATGTCTTAAAGTAGAATTTGCGTTCCAAGGACATTATCAAGTAAGTCATTTGTAATGGATAAATCAATTTATATGCAGAAAGTTTTTTGAATATTAGCTGACCTTGGTTACTTTATTACTTTTCTAAAGGGCTGTTAAAGTCGTAACAAAGATGATTTTAAAAATTCGCTGTAGCATCAAACTTATCATCGCTTGTGTCAATCAGTAAATCTCAAACAATTTCCAGAATCCTTTTATTGTGCAGTATATATACAGTACTTACAAAGCCACATTTTTATGCACACAGTAAATATTTGGCACTAATTTTTTGTAATGATTTTTAAACTTCGACCAGGAAATGTTAAGGATGTGCCACTTGCAGCTGTTATGGTCGTACCAAACTGTTTGTACCCGTCGATGTTTTTTTCATAAGTAATTTAAGACTCTAGACATTTCTGAGGATTATTCTGACACTGAATGTTGATGAATGTGAAACATGGAATTGAAAGTGTGAACTTGCTTTATTTTCCTTAAGGTCAATGAAGGTCATTGGTGTTGTATTCTTTTGTGTGGTGTTTTGTTTGCTGCTGCAGAGAATGCCTTCCATAATCAAACAACAAATATTGAGACCATTGTCAAAGTATGTACACGTTAACGTTTGACCCGAAGTAGATTTGGCAAGAATATTGACCCAAATCAGATAACGATGAGTGCATTGAAAGGGGAAGTGAATATGGCTAATTTAGAACTGAATGAAGATGTTTTGATGGAAGTTCTAAACTTTCCAACGTGGCTGCGGATTAGAAGCGCTGTATGCACTCAAATATCTATAAAGGTTTCTTAATCAAATGAAGTAATGTGACCTAACTAATGTAGATTCCTTGGACCAGCTTACGGACTCGACCAATTTACATCGTTTGTTGAATTTTATGTAATACTGTATTTTTCTAGGTCATTGATAACGTTTCTGTTGATGTTGAGGTCCTTGAAGTCCCCCGTGTGGTAAATCACGTTGATCAAACGCCCAGCTATCGGTATTTTGCCTATTTCTTAATGGTAGTCAGTGTATCATCAGGACGATACGGTTTTGTCGATCGAGTCATTGATGGTATATCCATCTGTGTGCATGAAATGGATGTTCGTGCCACTTCACGATTATTTAAGGCGTCTGTCAATGTAAGCGAGTTTGTTAATTTGCTGTTATAAGTTGTTTATATTACTTGTATTTGGGATGTAAGTATTTTACACGAGCTTACTTGTGCCTCCTTTTAATACTGTTTGCCACATCACCATGTCACGCAAGATTCTTTGCAGTTGCTAAGCGGAGTACTTATATTAGTCAATCTTTTGATCCCTTTGAGCGTTTTTTTGGAACGTCAATGAACACATTGAAAAGTTGTAACTATTAACGTCGTCGTCTAATGTCTATTGTTAACATTTTAGTTATCTTATGTAACGTTATCGAGTAAAAAGCCTAACTGGAATCCAGGACCCTTGCATTTTACGTTCATTCAATTGCCAGAAAAAAACAGTGTACTCATTTTTAAAGAAATATCGTGGGAAAGTACTCGATTTGAGGCAGATGGACTGGCTGCTCATATGACACCCGTCAAAGTTATCACTAATCATGCTAACCTCCGTGTTGTTTTGAAGAAAAGGCTTTCTGGTAATTATTTATGTTAACATGGGCATATTGTTTTACAATTTATGATTTCATGCTGTACCCTCATTGCCCACCCTTACATTTTCTTTGAGCGTTTTAGAAAGTATCTCTCAAAATTTAATAAATTAGTCACGATGGGGATCGTTTGAGAGTGTAAACAATTTTGTGTCACACACATTGCTATGCATTTTATTTATCCACCAAAATAAATTAGAGTTACGAAAATGTCAAATATATCAGATTCGCCAAAAAGTATAGTTTGAGGCTTTTTCTGTTTTTCATTTCCCAAGAGCGCCTTGTAATTTAGCGTACATTTTTAAAATAACTATGCCTGGGTCATAATTAAAATGCACAAATTTACCTACTGTTCAATCGATTGTTTTAGTGGTCACTCAGAGGCAAATCTCCAAAGTCGATTTCACGCTTTGATTAGAATACACATCTCGATACGGAGTGACTTAAAAGTTTGGAAGCTCAATTTAACAGTCACTAAGCCTGGCTTATCATACGGCGGTAGCCTTCAAATTTTGGAGTCTTTTATTGCGTAGCTCCATAAGAAGTACTATGAATTTCATTACCTGATATAATAAGTTAGTAACGAGGTCTTAACTTCGAATGAAGAACTTGTTTGGTATTGTTAGACAGGGAAGCGGAGATGCCGAAAGTGTTTTTGGTAACGTATAGATCTGAACACTCAGCGCCAGCCAAAGGTACTTGATCTGCTGTGCTTGCTATTTCGTTGCCATCCTAACAGTGTACAAGTGTACGTTACTCTTGTGTGGGTTCATAAAATTAAGATTTATCCCTTAATCTTCAGACATGTTGTTTGCGCATTTGGTCTGGGAAGCTGGTTTTCTTTTCATGAGGGAAGTTGTGATTACTTTGATAAATGTTCTGGTTACCGAATCTTTTTTAGTTGTCAGTTTCACGTACCTTTCATGTAAACTGGAAAAACTTGTTTTGCACTCCCTGTATCGTCATATAATAGTATTTTTGCGATGTTATTTCAGTAAATCTGTCTTCTTGTTATAGTTTTTATTTCATTTCGCATTTTATATTATTACTTAAATTATATTCTGTGAGGCACCAGAATATTGTGAAAATGGTTAGGTCAATTTCTTGTTATCTGCATTCCTCCCTACTCTAACATAAGTTCACTTCGAAATGCTCCATGGATACTTTTAAAGCCAAGTCAGGCTGCTTTCACAGCCACAGCATCCTTTTTTGGCCTCATTCATTTAATTGAAATCCAGCTCTAAAATATTACTTAGACTGTTTACAATAATTGCATTAATGCAGCTTTCCCTAGTAAATCAGTTTTTGAACGATGTGTTTGACCAGAACGATAGTTTTTGTGCATGAATTTAAATTCTATTAGTTTTTTGACAACTTTTATTTCCCCTCTAGACTCCTCGTTTATTTGTGCGAAGCTATCCTTCTTGGTTAAGAGTTTGCTCTGGGTTCTGACGGTTTCACAACTAGAAGCTGTTCTCTTCTTCCTGAAGTCTATCAGGCATCACATCCAGTTGTCTTCGCAACACGAGAAGTCTTTTTCGCCAGACGTGGGCAAGGTAACCGTTTGTATTTTAATGGGCAGCGTTCTCATATTATGGCAATTATTCAAGTCACCGACCGCATTTTGTGGTGATACCTGATATGCTGTTGGTTTAGTCTTCGTGTTTTAAATCATCGACTTACTTTAGCCAAATAAGTCCCATGTTCTGGAAGTATATGTCCAATTAAATGCTAGGAAATTATTACATTGTGTGCCATTCTTTAAGCAGGCAAAAGTTCCTAATTTGTTTAACTGCAGAGCCGGTGTGCTTCCTTGTGGTAACAATGAAAGGAAATGTATCATATTCAGTCCATCTTTGGTTGTGATATTGAATCAACTTCATCTGTTATAGTATTGGGGAAATTATATATTTAGAATGCTAGAGAACTCGGGGCATCCTACAACAAGGCACTCATTTGTCGAGGTAAGGCAAGTAGTGGACGCACGGCAAATGGCAGTTTTTCGTAGAATGGAGCTTTTGACTAATAATGCAAGTTTAATTTTATCATCCAGTTAAGTCTAAACATCCAGTTTTCGTTAATTCCACATAGTCACTGTCGTGATTTGGTCGTATCGATCCTAATAAAACAAAACGACAAATTTCTGACCACCAACATTTTGGGCCAAATTAAAATAAGGTCAAATCTCCACGAATGTTGTTTTAATAATGCAGTTGTCACCAAAACGTAGGTTTGCGAGTGACAGGTACGTCAGTTGGAGGACTGGATTGAGCCAGGTGATCAAGCCGGTTGTAACAGTTGTTTGTTCAGATAAATTTTTGAAGCCAGGCTACAATGCACAGATCCCCTGAGGAGAAGGGTCAAACCCATAGATGAGGGGCACTCGTCCGTTTACTAGACCACTCAACCAAAGTAAATATATTTACAATGCCTATTGGTGGTTTTAATCAGTTGGAGTCGGGGAACGGATAAGTCACGAGGCATGTAGTTGTTCGGTTACTTTGATCTGGATCCACGGGGTAATGGATATCAGAACACACCTAGACCAAAGGTATTAGACGAGATGTGTACAATTAACTAGGTGTTCACGTCAGGTGTCAAGTATAAGTTTAGTCACAAAAAAATCTTGAAACTCGCTAGTTGTCAGCGGAGTTCTGTTCTCGTTTGTGTGATTTGAGAAACTGCTTTTACGGTTTTCTACTGGCAGCAACAACAGTGCTTAATGCGGCGAGACTGTGAAGTCGATTTCCCACATGGTAAATAACCTAAGCCGTCGACGTGTACCTGGGGGCCACAACCTTCACAAGTCGGTGTATGTAGGCAGCGTATCGCCACGCTTTGTCACTAGGTGATAACAATCTCCTCTAGATCCATCTGACACGTCCCGTCCTCCACTTCAACTCACTGTAAATTCTCAAAAACACCTTCCATATGGCTGGTGTAAGTTATTTGAAAATCGGGAAAGTATAACTACTTGTCATGGCAGTTTTGTTTTGGGAAGTTTGTCAGTTGTGCAAAATATTTCAATCTATATACGTATGTTATATGACGTAGTTGCTATGTAGCCTAAATTACTTGTAATAAGATTCGAGTCCTGCTTTGATTATTTTGATGAAACAGTGGCACTTACCTCATGGTAGCTACTGAGCACAATTCTGTACAATAAAGTAGGGAGGTGCATTCTTCAATGCTAACGCCTTGTTTGAAATGGACCGAAATCTGATGGCCGGGCCACCGTTCAAAGTGTGATCCCTTGAAACTCGATCCTCTTTTCTGTGTTTAGCAACCTCCCTCAAACCCTCCCTCGGGCGGCGGCGGTGGTCACATGGGCAGGGGCCCTGGCGACTCCGCTTTCAGTCTTCCGGCGGTGGGTGGCGCGTCTGACCCCAGGCTGGCCAAAACCTTCGATTTTTACGACGTCCGTGAAAATTCCTTCTCTTGCCAGATCCATCTTATTGAGATACACTTTTGTGAAGATTCCCTCCGTGGTAAATTATGCATCTGTTATTGCATACACTGCTCGTTTTTGTCGACGTTGTCTTCAAGCGCAACTGCGGTTTTCAGATGGGTCTGACAACTTCAAATGTGTTATTATTCCTTTAAACCCTTTCAGTGTTGATAATTCAGCATTATTTAATCATAACTCTCCTCTCTTTATTTTATCACCTCTTTCACCCCTAGTTAGAGAAACCAACGTGTCGCCGAAGTATCCCATTTTCACCATGACGATTTGCCAGTTTCACGAATCGAATAATTTTTTACTAAGTGCGTTGATTCATCCATGGCTACAGTATCGGATGTAATTATAGCGAACTCAGCACTTTACAAAGAGTTGTCCTTAATATCCTAAGCGATTTTTCCAGTACATTTGGAGGGTTTAGATCGCCCTGACGTCATGTTCCTATCTAAATACATAATTCTGTGAACAAAATACATTGTCTGGTTTTTGTTTTTATGAAAAATGCGCCAAATTGGGCCTCTACTTTCATGGTTTTGTGCAACAACTTTGTTTATTATTTGAAGCTAAAGTTGCGCCTACTTTCATCTTAGTTAATGCTATTGTTTTTATGGCAGATGGCCATAAATGACAAGCCCAGGGTTCATGGAGAATACGACTCGCCGAGGGACATAACCGCTTAATTACCAACCCTTTAGCGTGCATACATATTGGGTGGTTGTACAGACACTACGGCCTGTTATTTGGGATACTTAAACTGAGTGTGGTCATGCGTAAACAGCGTGAAAAGTGTGAACTCAAAAGAGGTTTCGCACTTTGTCGTAAGAGTTAACTTATCAGACCGCATTTTCTAGAAATGATTTAAATCAGATACTTTCATTTGGCTACCGCAAAAAAAACGTTTCAGATATGCTGATAACTTGTTTTTCGCAGCATTTGAATGCCAGCACAAAGGTGGGGTTGTAATTGGTTTAATAATGCAAAGAATCTGGATATTTGAATATTCATGAAGTGTCTCTGTGTTGCGACCACGATCCATCTTGTTTCCGTGAATATTTATGTAGTCACCAGCCCCTCTAAGTCATGTCGCTCATTCTCCTCCTGCTCCCAGTACTAACTACAAATTATCATGTCTCTCTTGGGTTTGTCTGTTATTTGCTCTACGTCTGATGTGTTTTTTAGCAGTCCAGATGAGCACACAGCTTGCCAAATGTGGATCCGTTCGTATGTCACTGAAAAACCTCCATTTCGACTACTTCCCTCTTCATTTAAAAGGTATGTTCTCCTACTCTGTGTGCATGCATTTTCTTACTGCGACTGTCCAGACGCCATTCTTCCACACAACAGTGCTGGGCATTAGTTAGCGAAATAAATATTCAAAGCCAAGGATGCAATTGTTGTTACCTGCTATTGACACTTCTTGCCGTACCTATGCATTATCGCTGTGGTCGAATTAAGCCACTTTGGGGGCCTGCTGTTTGGAACTTCCTTTATCGGAAATGAGTGCCCTTTTTTATAGGCTTTTGTGATGACACGTTGAGCAGAAATGCGAAGCATGGTTTAGCCTCGTAACCTATTCTCCAATATCGATGCTGTACGTGGCAACAAAATTTGTGCACCTGGATCCTAAGTCGCCTTGACCTATTCATTATTATTTGTTGCAAAGTAGTGGGTAAATTACACATCGATAGTTAGGGTACCTGATGGTTACTTTGTAGGTCGTCAAATTGACGTCGGTTTTTGTAATTCTCTGTGGACATTGTGTATTAATATTGGAAAATTTAAGTTCTGGTGTGGAAGTGTTGGATTATCTTAGTCGTCTATTGATTAAATGGTCAATATGACAACCCTGCCGATGATTGTGACTTCACCCAACCTCTGCTATTTCTGATTACTGATGATTACTCACTGTCCCGATCGTACCGAACGACAAAAGAAGCAATTTGACTTTGTGTTTCTAAATTTCAACACCATTGCTTGTCCCGCTAAATGTTCGGCATGATACCTTATGGCTGCCAGCATACACTGTGGCGTCATTCTTCTCCATTTTGCCAAAAAAATAAAATATTCAAAATAAAACAATAGTAGTTCATTGACTTTTTAAGTTTTCGGAAGATGATATCTATAGGACTCCTACCTAGATCCGTATTGGAAGGGTTGGGTTGACATGAGTGATTGCTAACCGAGGTCCTTTTTCTAACCACCTAAGTTGTTTGTTTTTATTTTGTCCAGAAATCTCTCGCCTCGGATGGGGGAACTATGACGATATCAATCGCTCGCGCACACAGTGGATGGATTCACTGAAGCCGAATAGTGATCCGGAGTCGTGGATTAGACGACACTTCCAGACGTCGAATGCGAATGTGCACGAGACTGTTATCGTCTTCCACCTGCAAGATATCGCTCTTTCCTGTGTCATGCTAGACTCATATAAAACAGAGACGGAAAGTTGGCCACTACTGGTTGAGTGCGCTCGTCCCTACAACAGAAAAACCATTGTTAATGCTTTGGACGGCGAGCAGAGAAGTCTCATGTCAAGCGCGTTTATCGCCTCGGACACGCTGATGCACAAATTGGACACGAATGCAGATCTCATTTCAGCTGACTTAACACAATGCCGCTCGCTCGGCTCTACCGAAGGCGGTATGGTCTATTGCAATAGATCAAAATTATGTGCACCTTTAAATATATTGTAATTTGAGGTACCAAGCTTTTTAAGTATTATTTCCTGAATGAGCCAGGAACTGTTTAGAGCTTCTATTTTTTATTTACTCTCTTATGTTTTAAAGGAGTTCGTCTTTACGTAGGTTACTGTGTGAATTCCCAAACTAAGATTGGCTTCTGTGTATCGCCAAATGCTCGTATCTTTTTTTCTGGATTCAAATCACCGACTTACATTGTGGTCAATTCTGTTGATTTTTACTGTGGTTTTTGCCCTGCTTCTTGCACGACGCAGTTGTAACCCTAATGACAATCACTACAAAGTATTTCACACTTTTGTCGTATGTAGTCGCGCCTTTCCGATCCAGTTTGGCTGAAACACGTGCTGTCGAAGTGGTCGCACTTTTGTTTACCTTTTTTTCAGAACTGCCAACGATCTTGTTCGTTCAAGTCAACCCCCTGCATCTCAGGTTTGACGTCGACACGCTCATTTGGCTTCACGCCTTTCTACTTAATCTAAGACTAAACCTAGTAAGTAGTTTATAACTTATATGCGAAGCGGTTTCGTAGGCAAGATGGCTTTTGGGTGTTTTAAGGCTATTAGTCAAAATTTTAGCACTCGACGTTCTGTGTAACACATACTTCTAACAGGGAATACACTAATTCGTAGTTTTTTAATGCTAAACATTATTCTGCTAACAACTACTGGCATATGGATGTGTTAATGAATTAAGGCAGCAGCGCAGTGCTTATCTTAACATATCTTACCTGGATCTGCTTTGAGTCAAGCCATCTACCTATCATCAGCTTTTCACAAATCCACTTCTTGTTGGCGCTAGCAATCCGTTTTTGATGAGCCACTGGAACCCGCTGAGCACCCATCAGCTCCGCCGTTGTTCTGCCGCATAGAGGCTCTCAGGCCAAGGGTGAGTTCGACCATTCAATGAACCCATCATGCATGCATTATTTACCGAAATCTTGTCAAAAATATGGATAGTCACATTTTGCCCACAACCCAGGTGTCAGACGAAACCGACCGCATAAATCCCTTCAAATGTACTTAAAACCACACTAAGCCCAGATGAGTCTTTTCAGCTGTAAGTAGGTAGTTATAATTAGTCTGCCTTTGGGTGGGTGATCTGGTAGCCCTGTTGACAGCCTAAAAATTTGTAACCCGAAGGTTTCCATTATTGAATGAGTTTAGTTTGTATTCCTTAATTTGCGTTAGTTTTCTGTAACTTTAATCCAGTAATAGGCTTGACTTACAACCTTACACAACATGATGAAGTGCGCATTAGTCGTCTCACAAGATCGCTCGTCCCTTCTAATCTACAGTGTGGATTTTTCAAGGCTGTGATACAGCACGTACCAGTAGTGAGATTAATTATCCTTGGTGGTTTTTTAAGGTAATTTTCCCGCTTTGCGTCCCACCGTCGCCTGGCCCGGAGCCTCCCCGTGCCCCCGAGTACCCCTGGATCGGCCCAACTGCCCTCGTCGTTCAGGTATGCCTGCATTGTTGCATCAATGAATATGCAAATTATCACGTTGAAGTCACTATGACATCTTTTTATTGAACGTTTGAAGTGCTAACTTGTACCAATCGTGGCCAACGTTACGTTTTCGATTGCGACTTTACCTTTAAGGTGATCGACTCTGGTGGCCCAGAAATGGTTACTTATGCTCATTGAGTGTGTAATTAAAACCACGCAAGTTTGACATACAACTCAATATGGGGAGGTCCACAAAGACACTTTTAATGAAAATAACTGAAATAACCTAATTCGCAGTTTAATCAGGTCCTGTAAATGTTTAACATCTTATAATGTTATACCGTTTGGTTTTTGGCACTTGTTATATTTTCTAATCGGAAGGATCTTTCGCGCATGATGAAACAGGGTTGATTATTTTCCTCTGGCACCTGGATTACTTTGAGATCGGTGACACTGGTGATAAATCATCTGATGCTCTTTTTTGGAGTTAACCTTGTCAGTTAATGTTGTTTGCGCATTATGAAATGAGTCCCAGTTGAGCTCAGTCTAGATTGTCATTTCTCTTTAATCACTTAAATCACATGAGACAAAGGCGTCGGTAGCACTGATTATGGTGGCATTCGCAATTTTCTGTGTACCGCACAACGCAGTCTGGTGATAAAAGAATAGTGGCATTACTTTCTACCCTTTTGGCAGTTGTTGTGACTGTGTCAAGTAAGCCAACATTGTATTCTTATTCGGCGCTTGTGTGTAAAACCACGTATGCAAGCGCAGTTTTCGCGAAAATGTTATTCTTGCTTAAATGGGGCTGCTACTGACTAACAAAAGTAAACTCAATCGTGGTGTATCGTGCTTGCCCCATAGGACCCATTGTGTTTTAAAATCATGAATTCTAAGTAAAGATTTGTCCCAATTTATCATTACAGTCTGTTTTTAATACATAGTTAAGGAATCTAATGAATACATGACTCAAAAACTTTACTGATTTCCTAGGGTATCCATTTAGTCAGTCCTACACTAATATCTTAGATGCTATAAAAGATTTCTCCACAGCGATGTCCGTCATTTCGCTTTAAAGTAGTCGTATGATGATAGGTAATAATGGATTGGAACTTCCCATGAAAAACTATCTTTGCCATAAGTTGAAAAACCGAAATCTGTCCGCAATGTTGTTTTACAAACTCAATTTAAAATGGCTTGTAATTCTTGTTAACGGTTGTCGTCGTAGGCGTAAACGAGACCTGTTTTCTAAGCCCTGATTTCCTTTTTCTTATTACTTGCGAACCAAAATACGGCTCGGAAATGCAAACGTTACGAACTGCGAAAACTGTTGTTCTTGATATAACAAACCACAAACAGCAGTTAAGGTTAAGGTAAAAGCCTACTGATGTTATGGACAACATGACAGGAAGAAAACAGGGGCAAGTAAGGGTGATACGGTAAATCTCACAGCACGTTCTAGTAGCATCACGTAATGCATTGCCAAAGTAGTGCTAAGTAGTATGTCGAAGCTGTCATTTCGGGTGCGTTAACAATTGTCTTTTGCTTCGCATATGCAGACAAGACGCAAACGTTTCATAGGTCTAAGCAAACTATCTTTTACAACGTGTCACCCTAGTGACCGAAGCACCTTGTGGATGTAATAGCCCAAATCCATGACCAACTTGAATGTTTACCCAAGTTCTCCTTGAGGTCTCTTATTTGTACGATTGCACAATAAACTGATTTCAACAATGCCACAAATACCCTTCTGGAAGCAAAGTATTCCACCGTCACTGAATTTAAACAATGTGTCGCCTACTTGACGCCTGGCTTCGACGTGGATATTTTGGATGTTGTGTGCATGACGGCACAAAGTGATATCTGGTAAAATAACATTGTTTCAGCAGTAATGTAAGCACAGAGACGGCGACTCAACTATGTTTTAGCGGCGAGCGATTCGTGGCAAAACCGGTGTACTAGTTTTTTCTTATTTCGTGGTAGTTAAATTTACCGGGTGCACTTCGAATCTAGGTTCACATCCGGTGTTGATTTCGTCCACCCAACGCAGTATGTTTTAATTTAGCCGTATTTTCCGTACACTGAGAGCAGCCTAGTGTAATTGTTTGGACAAAGACGCAATTATCGGCCATGTTTGCACTGTGGGCTCGGAGTATTTTATTAGTTTTTTGATATTCTTTAAGAATTTAATTGATTTGCTCATGTCCATAAATGATCTTATCGAGTTCCACAATGCGTATTCAATTTTTTTACAGAAAAACGGGTATTTGGGTTCGGTTAGTGGTGGGAATAGGTAGTAGATTATAAAACGTGACAGAATTTGGGTCAGGTAAGGTTTAGCTCAAGGCCGATCTGTAGATGGATGGGCTTTTTTATTGCATCTCGACATTGCCTTTCGGACGATGTCTTTTTCGGCACATATCACGGTTGATTCCCTAACTGATCTCGTAGTCTGTGCGACGCTAATTGCCCATACAACATTGCGATGTCTTTTGTCAGTCTCAAATGATCACTTGGTGATGGGAAAATGTTGGTTTATGCCTCCTGAAATAACTAAAACTAAGGAATGTCTATTAATCAAGCGTTTTTGATGCGCTGACGCCAGTCTGTGCGACACTAATTGCCCATTCAACTTCACCACTTTGAGATTTTTTTTTACTCTCAAATGATCATTTGATAATAGGGTGAATGTTTGTTAATACCTTTTGAAATAAGCAAAGCCGTATAACAATTTTTTGATGTGCTGGTTTGTAGCTCATGGCTTGTAATATTTGAGGTCAACGTTGGGAGGGACCTACAATGCATAAACGGGACTTTCTGCGTTGTTGTTTGAAAACCGTGTTTCATGTCGTTCGGAGGTGAAAAATTACGTTTCCAGGCATTTCGGCTGTGCAAAATAAGCCTACTGTGTTCGAAAATTATGTGAAAAATTTGTAAGGCGACATGAAGGAAGTACTTTAAAGTCTGTGATGCGAGCTTAACACCTGAGGAGGACCATTGTCTGCGTTTGAGGAATCCCATGTGTTACGGTCGTAGGGCTGCACTCAAGGGGCCACTAAATTTTGGCTGTGGCGTTTTCAATTACTTCCTGTGCTGTTACACGGAGTTATAATTACCTCTGTTCCGGTTGCTAATGCGACATTTTGTAACCCTTCTAGGTTGATACCATGGTTCTACAAATTTTGCCTAATCCCCTGAGTGTTCCAATGATGCGGAATTTGGAGTACGCCGTTGACAGCTTACAAAAGCAACTGCGGCCTCTTTCTGCCTGGGGTCGTGAACACACCCCTCCGGACTTGGCTCGGTTTCGCCACTTCACCGACCCAAACAAACAAACAATGGTGAATTTTGTCTTTTTTTATCGCAGATCTAGACAGATGCGGACACTTTGGGTTGGTTCCAAATGTTAGGACTTGAAAATCGGCTGATGAGGATCAAAATGTCCAAATGGGCCCTTGCGCTGCTTGCTTCCTCCTTACTCGTAAACATTTGACATCTTCGCTATTAACAGCCTGCCTAAGGTTTGGTAAAACTATTTTTTTAAAACATTTTACTTGCATCACATTCACGCGCTCTTGAAGTTCAAATACAATGTCTCTCCGTCTATTAGAACACCACTCTTTATGGCTTTCTTGTCATCAAAAGTGGTTTGGGGAGCTATTTTTAGCGTCTTAAAAGCTTACATAACATGCTAATATTAATCAAACTAAATTACTTGGGAAGTTTGCGGGAAAACAATGAATCTGGCGAGGCATCAAACATCCACCCTTCTTAAACTACGACTTCGTAATCTTCATCGCGACTCGTATCTTCTTGAGGACAGAAATATTTAGTGGTATATCTAAAGGGAAATCCCCAATACTTGTGATTTTGGCGTCCTTAGAGGACAAATCTTTGACGTGTGTTGTTCATGCAGTGGACTAATAATGCTTAGTGTCAATCTAGACCCTTAAACTCAAAGTTGCGCATATCCTTAGTTTATTACGCATGACATGATCTCTCAGAGGCAGTTGCTGTGACTAGTTTTAATGCCTCTGAATGGTTTATTACGCGATGAAGGATAATTTACGGTGCTCTGTAGTAGTCCTATTTATATCCTGGTTGTTAACATCCTTCTAGCGGATAATTTTAGCACTAATTCTCCTAACGAGCGTGTTTGGAGTACATGAGCGATGGTGCGTTAACGTATTCAGTATATACCACAACTGCAATTTGGGCCTATGTTGGTAGTGCCTTACTTAATCCATACTATCGATTTTCGATAGATATGTTATTTATTTGTGCGATAAAATGTTAGTAAACACTGGCCATTGCAAACAATCTTGTACGTTTGTTGGTTTGCGAATATTCTCTATGATGAGGTAATGTTTTAGCATAGTTTAGCATATGTGCGGGGTTTTTATGTTTCAGTCGGTAAATGACAAATCTCAAGACATCCTGGTTTGCATTAACTGCCCCACTGTTTGGGCCGAATTCCTCACAATCTGCGAAGCAGCCACCCGAAGTCATACCGGTCCTTCGTTTAAGACCTACCGCCAGTCCTTCTTCGACCCGGCACCGTTCACGTGCTGGGCCCTCAAATCGTACCCCCTCCGGCGCCGGTCTCCGGCTCCACCACGCCACGCCGTCAGATGGTGTCCGAATCTGGCACGAAGCCTGTCTCCGCCGCCACCCCAGCCCGAGCCACTCAACGTTATTATCGACTTCGACACCTCCACTAGCCCCGTTTCGATGTACGCGGGTAAAACCTCGGCCTGTTCCAGCACCACACGTAAACCGCTTCGCTTTACCCTCGGTCATTCGGGAGCGGTTTTCACCTTTCGTTCTGTCAAGCGTCTTCGACTGCCCGATGCCGTAGATCACCTGGTATTTTTATACGGTCTGGCACATCGGGTGTCGCGTTTGAAAAATGGTACGGGCCTGGATTTTGCTGATATTGTAGAGCGCCATCAAGCGAATGGGGATGTAAAGCATTTCCATGAGTGGGTTCTGACGGCAAAATGCCTTTTAACACACGGTGTGCAGGTGGAGGTTGCCAGCACAGCGGATGCCCGATTCGTCGATCCACCGCCAGATTACGAAGTGGAGGATGGAGCCGTCTCATTGGCATCCTCGCTGTCTTCTTTGCCAAAAGACTCCGAAAACTTAGTGGATGGAACAATGGGAAGAAACCCGGTCACGAAGTCAATCATTGATGATGGAAATAAAGCGTCGTTCGACGTGAGCCAATCAAAAACACACCTAGGGGGATTTTATGATGGCCAGGCGTCGCGATTGGGGCAGTCTCGCGGTCTTGAAAATCCCTTAATGCTACATCGTAAGCCCTCACAAAACCTTCATTACAACTTGTCAAGCTCTGCTTCAATGATGTCTTTGGATAGTGAGGTGAGTTGGCATTAATTTACGATAGTGTTCCAAGGGTGTATAGCTTACTGCATGTACTTGGCCTCTGTGAATAACGTCATATTGTCTATTCCAGCTGAAAATTTAAAATAAAAGGGTTGTCAAATGACGGCTATTGCTTTTTGAATTGAGATTGCGTCAGAAGTTCGATTGATCCAGAATTATGAATTTGGATCCATCAGTACTTATACCTTTGTCGCAAAACGAATCATTAGAACATAGACGAACCTTGGCAAATGTCAGAAATTTTAATTCAGTGTATTTGAGTTAATTTATAGATGTTGCCCTGTGGCTAGCTGAATTTGTCTTTTATCTTTTGCAGGGCTCAACATTCAATGATTCGGTGTCCATCCCTCACTCTGGATCACTTGAAGCACTTTTGCCCGATGACGAGATTTTAAATGAGGTGTTTGTTAATTCATCTGAGAGCATTACTTTCGAAGAAGTTGGTGTAGACGCGTCGAACGTCGAAAACGTCAATGAGCGATCTGCTACGATCATGGACGAGGAGCAAGCCGTTCATTTTCCCCCGTGGGAAGTCAAACGTCTAATGCTGGACTTAAACGACCTTTCAGTCGATGTCGGTACGCTTCTGTCCTTTTTTGTGAATCTAATCGACGTTATCGTTCGTCAAGCGAACGGCTTAGTCAAACTTAGGGGGTTAACAAATTCGGCGTCATCCATTATTTCGAGCTATATTCTACCTAATGCTGAAACTACTATGGTTTTAATTTTACTCTTCTACCCTGCCCAAAAGTAGTGCGTATTTGTTTATAAACGTGGTTCAGTTAGTTGGCTGCAAAACGAACAGGTTTACGAACATTGATATTATCCGAAAAAACCGATTTTTAAGCACTCACACTGTGTTACATGGCAAAAATTCGTTTGCCTAATCACAATATAATTATTGCCACCAAATCCTAAGTAAACGATCTTTTTGGGACTAGATACGCGTACAAGCGTTGAGTGTGCAATGCAAACCGTAACTTCATTTTTCAATCTTGATAAAATGAAATATCGTATTCAGAACCAGTTCACTTGCCAAGGCAGATGAGAAATCTGCAGCTGAGCAATTGGCTATGCGTCAATCGATGTCTGGTAAAATATTCAACTTAGGCCATACATCCCAGCTTACCTCATGAGCTCATTAATATTATTCAATGGCGTTGCGAGGTCACTTCATATTGCATAAAAAAGTCTGTGTGTGTGTGTGTGCTAGGTGTGCTGCAGCACAGTTAACAGTGGTAAACAGGTAATGGCGATTGAGTCAATGGAACTAACGCGTGGTGGTGCTTGAGGCCTGGCAATTTTATAGCAAAAGGATCGATGATTAGCGGGTTCTGATGTACCCTGGATCCTGAACCAAAGCTACACCGGGTCGTGCAAAGTGTCTGGTTTTCTCATAATTGTGTCATTTTGTCTTCCAAAATGTCGTTGTGACATTCATTTTCCATAAATTCCAACACTGTTCTCACTTGGCTGAGAACTAAGCCTTCGTGTTGCAAAAGGTGATGCTGAAGAGCATTTATTTATCAGTATATCTATGTTTCTTCTCAGTTAAATGCTTGTAACGTTCCCCAAACCATCACCCCATGTGGTGGTATCCTTGTCCATCAGTTGCCTTTAATGTCCCCAATTTACTTGTAGTAAGCACGCAATATTACATGGGACAAAACGTCATATACTTAGGTGGTAAACCAAAAGTCGTGTCCATCTCAAATTGTCTATTAGCCGTCTTCTTCGTCTTAGGCTGGTAATCTCCAGGTCACAACCATGGTGATTCCGTCTGCAAAGTTGACCTATTCTTCAATGTAGTCGTTAGCCCAAACTACGCCACACTACAAAATACTTTATTCAATCAACATTGACAAAGACTAAGAGATCTAGTGACTTTTTGAAACAGGAGTGAAATTTCACTCCATCGCCTTTCGATTGTAGTTACTTGCATTTGTAACGTCATTTAATCAATTTGCAAAACTTAGCTTTCAAGCCAACACTGGAAACACCGTTACTGGGCCATAGTCGAGGTGCTGGCATAATTCCTTGTCGCCTATCGGTCTCACTTTTACGTTATTGATGTTTGCGGCAATGCGCGGTTGTGCCCGGCAAAGTAAAGTTTGTTGGCAATCGCATGGGATGCCGGAAGGATCGGTCATATGTCCATGTCATCAGTGACGTGTACTTTGATGTTTTATCAAAAAATCTGTCCAACCAACAGGATAATGTTGGTTTATGGTACTTGTGGCAACTGCTTTACCACCGTAATTCATAAGGATTTCATGTAGGTTTGCATTTTGGTGATCGTAAACCCTTCATTTCTCAGAGATCACCACGATTGAGGTTCGAATGTGGCTCGGCGTGGGGTCAGTAAATTTTGTCGACCCAGACGACTGCGAGGTGGATCCCCAGGGGTATGAGGCGACAAATAGTGACAGCTCGAACATCTCGGATGTTGATGATGACGATAAAGCATTCCTTATTACCCTTCGACTGGGTGGAGACTTCCTGCCCGGACGGCCCCATAATCTGCTCAGTGATCATGACGGGTGGGTGGCTCTGCGCATTGGAATGCAGCGCGAGGTCACACTACATCCAATCCCCACAACATGGGAGGTAGTAGAAGCCCTGCTGGGTCATTTAACTTCGCGTGGTGGCGTCAGGGCTTGCCGCTGGGTGGTCACGCGAGAACCGGGTGCGGGGTTGACGCCGCTCCACAACCCTGCTGAACTCATCGACCTCTCTTTCTGCCTTGAGAAGGGCCACCTCGTTCTTGACTTAAGTGGGCGACCCAGAGGAAATAGACGGTCAAAAGACTCGACTATGAAAAGACAAAGCAAGGCGCCTATTCAGAAGGTACTAGTTGTTGGTAGTTTTCATTAATTATAATAGGTTATATCAGTCGTGGATACCACGAGATGTGTACGATTCCCATTTCAATTTGGCTCGTATGCACCTAGCCATCTCCCATGGTCTATTCAAAATTTGTTCGTCTAGGTTGATTTGGTGGTCTAAATTTGTTTCCACCCTCATCGCAGCGTCCTCTCTAAGCGAACTACTCCTGATTTTGGTTGCGGATTTTTTGCCCAATTGCGAGCCGAACTGAGTTCATTTTAAATTTCCCATTATCCTCAGATCAAATTCCTCCAAGGCTTTTCTGCTTCGCTGAATAATGATGGTGTTCTTGAGGTTTGTGGGGCTACACCAGCGGCATCCGAATCGGTCGTTAGCATGGCCCCCACGATCACCCCAACGCCACCCAACCATGCCAATTGTCCTCCATTGCCCCCCAAGCGCCCACCACCGCCGACACGCCTTCACGACGGCTCCGCTGCCGCCAACCGCACGGCGTCTCTAGCCGAAGAAAACGCCAAACTCCGACTAATGGTAAATTTGTGTTTTTGGCTTGGCTAACTTGATGGCTTTGGTGTTATAATGTGACAGTAAAAGAATCTGTTGGCTACCGCGTTGGCAGGGTCTTGGTAACTACATCGACTTCCCGATCAACTGTTGGTGCCACATTCAGGCACTACCCCAGCATCAGAGAAAATCCATTACTGGCGGGATGAGACCGCCTGTTCACCAATCATCTAGCAACATGGGTAGTTGCATGTCTGGCGGTTAGTGCCATGCTATTGCCCTTCCTAGAATTGGCGTCGTCTCTTAGACAAATTTGAGTTCTTTGCTTTTACTCCCTTTAAGTCTGTCTTGCCTCCATTATTAGATCGAACGGCTGAACGCTCAGGTGCTTTCTCTGTCTACGGATCTGGCTAAACTCAAGCTCAGGTACCCTAGCTAAGCCGGTAGAGTGTTTAATACCCTCCACCCGCCACACTATTACCGATCCGAGTCGTCCCCTCCTCCGAAATATCACTGTCCCTTGTATTTTTTTGCTGCTACAATGTACAGTTCTTAGCTTTTGTTCCCTCCCCCTTTAACACTACCACTCCCCTGTCCTAACCTCCAAAATTTATATGCGACTCACCACTGCTTTGGGACCTATGTGCCGTTGGCCAACACCAACCCTTCTGTTTACTTTAAGCAGAAGTAGGAAGCAACCATGACAAAATAATGCACTCTTGTACCAGCCTCCTTGACCGTTCAGATGTCAAACCTCGACGTACGCCAAGTCGTTCCGGGACCTGTGATTGTAGCCACAACGTAAGACCTTGACGGATACAAGACATTTTAGCACCTTACTGTTTTATTGCTTACTAATGACACTGCGTAACTTATCAAGTGAGCCATTTCAAATTAAACATTGAAATTTTTAAAGCCCATCTACTGAGATTCTTGTGACCGCACCAAAAACAACACTGTGTCGTTTTGAATGTGAGGCCTCATGAGTTTCCGCATCGAAAGCATTGTTCCTGAAGATTCGCATTTGATGACAGTTTCCCCAATTATAGGCTTACGCACTTTACTAATTAGACAAGACTCAGTCTGAAATGCGAGAAAGCAGTGACAGGTTGATCAGACATCTCCACAGCTCTCGTAAAGGTGTCCACATCGTAAACTCCAGCAAGCTTGAGTTTGCGCTTCCAAAAACAAGCAAATTCCAACTAGGTGAAGACTTCGACGGTCTTCTAATTCAACACCCTCCGTTAAAAAAAAACTCGAGATCAGAAACAAAGCGAAGCAAGTGCCCCTGGCTTGTACAAATGCAAGCAAAATTACAGAAGCAAGATCACAACGATATCATTGTTTTGAGGCTTGTAGGTGACCATAATACACGAGATTGTGGAGAGCATTGACCGAGCACTGCATCTACAATCAGGAAATTGGAACAATGAGGTTCGAAAGCGAGGCCCAAAACATGAACACATGCAGTCTAAACATCAACGACAGCCCCGCTGCATGCATTGAGAATGCCCAAAGCAATCGAACTAATAGCCAGAAGAAGTAACTCACTAGAACTAAAAAGCCCGACACAAATGAAAAAAAAATATTTGACTGTTTCAACAAATTACCTAAGGAAAGCATACAGGCGCGTGGTTATTTATATAATAAGCTAAATTATGGATTGCGTACGCTCCTCAGAACGAATTTCGATGTTGGTGGGGCATTAGATTCCTTGCACTTAAGACGCTGTCGTGTACCACAAAAATATGACCCCGAAGAACGACGAGGTCAAGATTAAGCTGCCTGTTAAGTGCCATTCTGTTTGATATTCAATTAATTCGACAATAGTCCAGTGAAAACACATACATGCACGCCCGTTGTGGGACGTACACCCAAGAATAGACCTGTCACAATATCGTCGTAAATTTAATGCCAGTGGAATTTCGGCTGTAATAAATACACCCACTACTACCAAATAAAACCGACTCACAAACATCACCGCGCTTTGCGACGTACCTCCGGTTGCTGGCCCATCAAATTAATAATGTTCTCTGCTTGTTTGAAGTCCCTGCTTTCTAGGACTAAAAAGAAGTAGCTAGTTAAACATACATGGAGTAAGGCAAGGTAAGCCTACATCAACGAGAAAGTAACATACATGAAATAAGTTGTTCGACTAATTCACAGGCATAAGGTGAAAGTCGGTTTGTTGAAATCACATTCTGCAGTGAAGATAAGGAGGCCAAAATTGCGTCTTTTCCAGGAATCTTTGAAAATAAAAGCAAACAACATAGTGAAATAAGAATCAGCGCCTGACCACTGCGAATGCATATCTCATAAAAATGGAAAATGAAGTAATTTAATGGTTTAAATGAAATAACAGATAAGAGCACACGGAATTACCTCCAGCGAGGTATCCCCCAATATCCCATTAATTTGAGCGGCGAGTCTAGCAAGAGTGGATGTGTTACAAGTAACAGCTTGTGAGGGCAGTGTCTGCTGGCTCATCACCGATGGAAACGTCTGCAGTGGAAATCGCTGGTCTCGAAGTACTGCCGATGGTTGAGGGAGGGTCGGCGCGATAGGTGGAAGGGGCTGGTTAACATTGGGATAGCTATTTTCAGCAGGTCGACCGGCAGCTCCAACACCATCGACGGAGTGATAAACACGCACTCTTTGCCGCCTCGAGGGCGTGTAGCCTGAATTTTCAATCGACAGCGCTGGGGGGTCATTCCAACCAGCTAGAAATACGGCAATGTCAAAACGGATCCATTAATGGAAAAGCACCTAAACTTATAAAATGCATATTCCTATACGCATTTTTTTCCATATATGGAAACAGTTTACTGGAAATATAAAGATAATCTCAAAAAAATTATGGACACTGAAACTACAGGAATGTCCTTGCCAATTAAAATTACAGAAGGACGTAGGTAAGACAATCAAAAAATCGCAAAGCCATTTGGCCTCGTTATTTATGACAGCTAATACGGTCGTCAACTAAAAAACGAGCTAACTCACCAAGTAGCTGAACACGTGGAGTCTTGTTGTTCACAATGGTATAAGCCTACTTTTAGGAAGTAAGTAAACTTTAGTTAACCACACAAAGGAAACAGTAGTGTGCATTTTCCTTGACTGCGATATATCAATCAGTTCAGGATGTGATTATGCAAGATGTACATCGTTATGAAAGCACCTATTATAGTGATAATTAAAAGGCTCCTAATAAAATAAAACCGGAAATGGAATAGAAAAATTGCGACTTAATGAAAAAAATGGACGTTTTTAAGTACAACTTCCTACGCCAACTTTATTCGTGTAATTTCGCAGCTTTCCATGACTATGATATGGTACATTACATTCATTAAGACATACCAATTTTGAGTAAAAAGATAACATAGATGGGATGACAAAAGACCATTCAAATATCCGAAGAAGTGTCATCAGTTTATAATAATATGAGAACTATCAGTTAGGAATGAATGGAGAGAGAACCGTGTTTAGATACCCATGCAACAACATGGGAATGACAAATACTAGTTACCTGCTGAGAATATTCATGAGGACATAGAAATAAGGGAAAAATAAACGAGATGGGAAAGCGAACAAATCGATATCTGACAATCCACGTTTAGCTTACATAAAAGATGTAAATCCCAAATTCGCATGAAAGTTTATGCCTGAAATACACGTTAAAATCTTATTCTAATCTATGTTATTAGCTAACAATGAAGAAACCGAAAACGTCTTAGCTAGCTACACATTATGTAATTAAAAATAGCTTTAAGAAAAAAGTAATGAGTTCTGAGAGAGTGCACAACACTATAAAGTTGCCAAATCTCCGCGACATTCACTAAGTACATAATTGGCAATCATTGATGATAAAAGCCCGTTTTATCTTTTTGGCATTAAGCGTGACACTAAAAGTTGTAATTATGATACCATCGCCTGCGTATCCAAAACTGATACGAATCCGAGTTGCAGAACAACCTCTTAGACTGTGCCAGTAATTCTAAGACCTAGGTGAATTAATGAAGAAAATCGTGATGTAAAGGCGCGGGTTCCTTCAGGAAATAAACGTGCCGATAAACTCAAGTTAAAAACGTGGCTGAGGGGAAGGTGGCGACAAAGGGGGTTCAAGGATTTCCCACTAATTCGTGTCGCAAACTATGTGGCCGTTAGTTGTGGTTAATTATGAACCTTAGGGCCCGAATTTTCTGATGAATAGATGAATCCAAGGCAAAGTAACGTAACAAAGTACCTACGTGAAAAGGGCACAGACATCCCACCTAACTGCAACCTGTCACGACCTCAAACGGGCATTTAAAACACTTCAAACTTATTCACCAACTTGAATTAAATTTGAGGATATACATAATTTTTGCTGATCTTCGAAGGTGTAATTATAAATAAAAAATTATCATACTGTAGGAATTAATATTTTTGTGGGGTGTAATCGGAAGTCGATGCTATGCCATGGATATGCGGAAATTACTGGTTTAAAAGCGGAAGTCTCTGCATTGTCATTTTTGCAATTCTTTACGATCACTGCAATGTTTCACACATGACTAGATCCATTACTAAAACATTTAGCAGTGGGTTTGTGTACATAATCTTTCATCGACGAAAAAATCGAAATATATTGGATTACATGATAAGTTAAAAGTCTAAATACCCCTGGTAAATTCTTGTTATTGTTTACCACAAACGCCAAGGTACAACGAACTATAAATATGCAGATGCAAACACACCTTATTTCAGCTCACGAAATAATGCTCAAAAACGCTCATGTCACATTTAATCGTCTTATACTTCTCCGCGTTCCTCTTGTCTTATCCACATGAAAGCAAGTAACTAAAATTTGTGAACGTATTTTTTTGCATATTGTGCCAATTTTATCAGTAAATTTTTATGTTTATTGTGGAGTATAGTTAAACTGTTCACTGGTTCAATTCAGATAGATGCATTCATTAGCTGTCAGAAGCAACTAAAAATCCGAGAACGTGAAGGCGATAATAAGTGGAGTATTTTTTCTGAACGATTGACACGAATTAAAGCCAAATGAAAAGTTACGTACGCATGAATTTTTAGATACAGTTACATCACAAACAAAGTAAAGGTTTAAAACAAGGGCTCGTAGTAAAATTTAAACTCAAAAAAGTGATTTTATTTGTTATTTCAGTAATTTAGTAGAGCCTTACATATACCTTTTTTACAAAAATGTATGTAGTGTTGAAAAGACATTGCGACACCATTGAAATGCCTACGTTTTTTATTCTCGTTTGTTTCTTGATATTTTCGTAGAAATGCAATTAATTTTTTATCACTTAGCTGGCGGTAAAGGTAAATTAGGCACATGTCTAATTAAGTCGAGAATGTGTCACTGACTACAAAATCGTTCGTTTTATTTCACTCTTCATGTCAATGAGTAGATTACAATTAACACAAAATGTAATTCAAACAACCTCTTAAATTAAAAATTTGTGAAAAGTCAAATGTAAACTGATACTAGCTATTTGTAAATGAGTTTTATTAAGCCAACTCCTCCAACGTCGCTTTTTGTTTGTTATAAATGGTTCTCCTGCTGGCGTTTAAATAAGGGTCTATAACTTTGGTCCTGTTTTAGTGGTTCTTTTCTTCAGTAATTTTCAAGCTATTTTTCTGCTTAAAGTGCGATGGCTAAAAAAACGTATGATCTTCTGTTCAAGTTAATGCTTATTGGTGATTCCGGAGTTGGAAAGACATGCATTCTTTTCCGCTTTGTTGATGATTCCTTCTCGTCGTCGTTTATTTCAACTATAGGAATCGATTTTAAAATAAAGACCGTCGAAATCGATGGCAAGCGTATTAAGTTGCAGGTTTGTTATTAAGGTCTTCAGGAATTTGTTAGATTTGGGACACCGCTGGCCAGGAACGTTTCCAGACCATTACGGCGTCGTACTACCGTGGAGCTATGGGCATTATGTTGGTGTACTCCGTAACATGTCGGAAATCCTTTGAGAATATTTCTAAGTGGATGTCGAATATCACAAATTTGGCTTCAGATGAAGTTGAAAAAATCATTGTTGCTAACAAGGCTGACATGTCTGATCAACGTCAAGTTTCCGAGGCTGAAGGCTTGGCCGTTGCCGAAAAGTATGAAGTAAGGTCTCTCATATTATCGTTTACGCTAGGTCAAACACTTTGAGACTAGTGCTATGAATGGTACAAACGTGGAAGCTGCTTTTCTGGAACTCACGAGGGCCATTTTGAAGAAAGTCCCCAGGAACCAGGATATTGCTTCGCCTGGTGCTCGTGTTCACAACCTTGATGCTAAACCAATGTCTTCCTCCTGCTGCTAAGTTGTCCTTGCTATAACTATCTCCATTGTATCCAAGTTTGATTCTGGCTGCATTCTGGTGATGAGTCTCGCATCCGCGTAATCCCGTTTATTTATTTACCAATATGTGATTCCCTCCTTCGGACTCGTACTCTGTTTATTTCTGTTGATTGCCTGGCTTGCATCTGAGAATCTTATTGCGGTGGTGCTCCGTTTTGAATTCGTGCTTTTACGCCATTGTAAATATATTCCCCAAAATATATTTTCATTTTATGATATACGTCGGAGTGGGTAATCTAGAACTCACAGCTGTATGATAACTGTCTAGTCCGTCGGAATCACTAAAACTCTGTCAGTGCGTCTATTCTCGTGCCTGCCGGCATTGGAGTTTTCTTTAGACATTTTATTCCTTCAATGGCGTCAACTTTACACTATTCCGTCCGATGCTCTTTGAATATTTCGTTAATTGCAAAAATCTCGTTTGTACTTTTAGCCTTTATTAGGGTATTAACTAATTTACTCACGTTGTTTTTGCAGCCTTCCATCTGCGGATCCCCAATTCAGGTTTTGGTCGTCGCATATTTGCTATGAAGATTCGTTGCCTCGCGGTGCATTATTGAGGCTTGTCGCACACCTTACTAATGCGTGTGTAACTGGATCTTTAGTTATCGAACAACTTGGGTGGTCCATATTCGAAATACACCAATACCAGGCATCAGTGTGTGTTGCAGTGTTCAGTTTGTACGCAATTTAAGTGTAAAATTTGTGCACAACCTTGTGTATCAGTCTTTCTGAATCTGATTTATTCAAGAAGTGATGGACTGATAGTCGGTTCCTTCATGACTATAGCATTTTGGTTAGTTTGATTGCCGGCCCACAATTCTAGTTCAGCTGGCTCAAGTGCAGTGCCGTCATCTTATTAGTTCACGTAGAATGGAAACTGAAAGTAATGACGGTTGAACCTTGTCAACTCACTAAAGTACGTATTAGGTGCAATAATTTATGTGTTGTTGGATTTGTACCAATCATTTGAACGAAGTCAACGGCTGGCAATAGTCCATTTGAGTTTCTCCATGAACCAACTCCCCTGTGCCCGAAATCTCCCACAGTGAAATGAAAGACGAGGTACGGTAACGTCTCCAGGTACTTTATGCGAAGATATGGCGATGTTAATAGCAGTGAAAATTAAATGACAATGGGTTCTTTCACAAAATTACTAGCCTATAGCTGCACCATCCTTTGAAGCCTTTTTTAACAGCCCCAAGTGGCAGAATTTTCGTGCTCATTGGCCCGCACCCGCGTGATGCTCCAACGTCGGTATTAGTGTCTAATGTTGGTCAATTGGCTTTTTAAAATATTTGATTCAAACTTGGTACTTATCTCAGGATTATTTGTGAGCACGATCTTACAGAGTTAAGTAGAGGGGTACATCATAATGCTTACCTTTTGTTTTAGCCATCGTTTGGTTGTTGCACCAGTGTTCTTCAATACACACGTGCTCCATAACGGTTCTATTATCACTAAATTTGAAGCGGTGTTAAAGTTTGTGTGGAGAAAGGTCAAGATGATATTGTCATGAAAAAATAACACGAATTTGAGGTGACTAGATTCTTTCCATGGCTATATCTTCACATCGATGTGTAATATTACCTCAGCCTAAACATTTAACAAAATCACGGACATGAATACATGATAATGAGGTTTGAATGTTTGCTTTAGGTTCGATTTGGCACCTGAACGAATGCCACTAAAATTCATCAGCTGCCTGTTTTTTCCAGATTTTCTGATGGGTGGAAATGACAAATTTGTTTGTGTTCTTTTAAAGGCTTTATGGCTTAAATCAGTAATTAACTTTTTAAAATTTTGACCCCTCCTGGCGCCTGACACGTAAGTGTGTCTTCATGTCACAATTAATTTCTCGATTTGAACCAGGCTCTGGCTTCTGTTTTTTCCGTGTTCCACTTTGCACAGGAGGAAAAAATTTCGACATAATTAATCTCAAATGCGTTATTCATTTTTTTTTCAAAATGCTGACCCATAAATCCAGCTGTTGGTTCCTGCATTTTGACTACCACATACTAACTTCTGGACACCATTGTTCCTAACGGTTAACAGTCTTCTGTCTGTCTAGTTGTGCTCTCCTTTTGCCATCTTATTTGGGGGAGACAGCAGAAATTGAATTGTAGCAAATCAGGTTCATCTGTCGTAATGCTTGAATTGCTTTCATTAAACAGCTCAGCGATCGGCTTTATTCGACTCTTCCAGACATGCGAAAAGCAATAAAATTCATGCAGAGGACTAAAGTAGCCTCAATACTTTGAAGTATTCTTGAACTAATCCAAACCGTCTGCCCTTTGGAGACGAAATATCACTATTCTTTTGACTGGCTTCGTAATAAAATAAGTGTAGTACTTCTACACAAATCTAGGTGAAGCAATCTGTTTGAAATCTAGTAAAATTAAATCCCAGAAATCATTATTAGGCCATCGAAAGGATTGGTAACTTTTCCAAACATAGGTAAGTTATCGTTTTTCTCTAAATTATACTCTTTGAGTTTGGAACTCTAAACCATCAAATAAGTATGATACAGAAATACATTTGATAGTGAAGTTTGCGAATGTTTCAGGCAATAGGTATGAAATTAGAATATTCGTTACTGTATGTGTTGTAATCGACACTCTATCCACAAGGCCAGCAAACAATCTAACTTATCGAGAACCCTCTGCAAATGGTAGGACAAGATTCATAATCTCAGCAGCCATGTATAAAGCAAATGAAACAATTTTGTGGGAAGAAACCCTTAATTACGCCTCGACTGTCGCAGCAGTCTCAGCTTTCCGCCTTAAAAAACACAAGAAATCAATAAATGTGAAATCCGTGGAGATATTCTTGAATGCCATAATGTAGGCTACACCTACTTTATAGCCGTGGTTTAAGCTAAGCATAATCCTAAAACGCAATTTTTGAGGTCCTAATTCATGTAAACACAAAAGATCGATTTAGTCAGGTATAAATATATATTGACGTGAGTGGGGGTTTTCAATTTATCGTGCATTCCTAAAAAATGATTGATTGAATAATTTGGCTCAAGTAAAATATTAGGAATAATTTAATTCACAGATGCCACGACGAGCTCAGAAACAATGGCTCAACCCTAGCCTGCACATTTTTCCAAGACATTATATGCTGATGTGGTTCTCGAAATGCAAAATGTATCAAACTGCTAGTGCTATTAATGGTAGTCAGGTAATTAGGTTAATAACCAAATTTCGTGCTAGTTACAAGCTTGAACGCATTTCTGAGTTGCAATGACAATGCTTAGTAAGATTATAAAATTACTGTCATCATGGCAAAAGATTTGGCTCAAATGAAACCTCTCAGTGTCATTGACGAGTTCAAGACATACGTGACTGCTTGTAATTACATTTCCCAATACTTTCTGAGATTTTACTAAGATTATTAATGAAATTATCTGTGTGAATAGATTGATCGCGATGTCACTACTTACTCATCTTGAATACTTTCATGTTAACGACAGTCTAAATGCTTCTAATGCAGCTAATAATTTTCGTGTGCATGTACAGTTAATTTGATTAATAACGTCCTGCATTCGCGACCTAAAAATCACTTTTTAAATGGTACGCAAAAAAGTGTGCTAGCTCACTCCATTTCATGTAAAGGTAGATAATTTTCAAGTCATTTCCAAAAGGCTTAATTTATAGGGAGGCGAACCTATGCAGGTTTGCGTTAATAAGAGAAATGGTCTAATTTTTAACCTAACTGTTGCATTTATTTCTCATAAAATAAAGTTTCTTTCTGGCGAGGTTTTTTCCCGTACCCCGTCCATTCTTCAATTTATAGTCACATGATAACTTCGCATACCACAAATATTCGATCCAAATCATACGTTAAAAATAATTGCTTGTTTCTAGATAAAATAAATTTTTTCTTTAAGAAAAAGAAATAGAAATCGCCAGGGTGAATGGAAATGTTTTATGGCACTAGTTTGCTATCGCATACTCTCTTGGGAATGCGCGCTTTTCGGAACCATTAAAGGTATTTTCGGCTGATGTTGAGTCGAGGCGCTCTATCTTTTATAAAACATTCAATTGTGTTTTATTGCTATCATACATAAATATCTGCATAATGATTTTTGATAGTTTGCAAAATAGGTAGTGTTTTAATTATTTATAATGTTTTGTCTTCTGCTACTAGTTATTGAATAAATAACTGGTTAATGAATCCTAATCCAAGCCCTTTAACTGCGATGAATTTCATTAAGATGCCTCTTAAGCCATGGGATTTTTTGAGTGCTATTTGTCCCGTTTTCCTCTTTTGGTTTCCGCAATTTTTTTCATTTCGCACAAAAATGATATCCACGAAGAGCCCTTTGCTTGAAAATTTATTCCTAAGGAGTATCATGTTTTATGACTACATAGTAAAGTGTGCGCCTGAACACTAATTCAGATGTACAGATGAGCAATTTTATCCTACTGGCTGATTCTTTCATTAGGTAAAGCAATTATTTATTGGACCCCTTCATTCTGACTCAACTGTACATGAGTATTGAAAATGGGGTGTTGGAATGAAAGTAATAAATTATTCTAATATTTGATGCTGTTTATTCTGTCTTTGAAATTTTAGCTTTTTATCCAACTTTTAAGACCGATCTCGTTTGATGTTTTTTTTTCGACTAATGGACTAGTATTTGGGCTTCATAGACCTCCAAAACATGGATATTATTATTTTGTCTTTACTATACTACAAAATAATCATTTTGTTGCAATTACCTAATATATTCTCCTATAGGTGGTATTGAAAGAACCCACCAAGGGGTAGCTGGCGGGAATGGCACGTGCCCTAGAAGTGGTGGCCCGTCTAATCGCTGATGGAAAGGCTCGGCAAATTGTCGTAATGGCTGGAGCGGGTATCAGTACGGCTAGTGGTATACCAGATTTCAGGTAGTAATGTCTAATTTCTTTGATAAAATGATCGTACACAGAAACGCTTTTTGATCTTCATGCAAAAATCCGATTTTAGTGGGCTTGTTTATTCTCCTAGCAACCAAGTTTTCACCTTTTTGTTTACCTTATTTTTTTCGCAAGCTTTTATCTAATCAAGCATCCATTAGACCAACTGATTCGACGCGATTCGCCACCCTAACAATAAATGCCCCCTTCTTTTTTTCCATTTGTGTTTGTTTTTAAAACCACATCCCTTTTATTAAGGAAATATGTAATTTATCGGTTTTGTATTGCAGATCCAGATGACTTAAAACAAACTAATCTGAGCCTCATTTCTGTTCCAAAGTTAATTCATGTATAAGAACCTGTGAACTTCATGACAGGCGTTGATTAGAACTGACTTTGTCTATTCATTTCAAATTCTCGATGTCTACTTAGTTATTCTATCTTATCATATACCTAATCCGATATGTAACTTTGATCATATGTACTTATCATACCAAGGAAATTTATTTATTTTAACCCAGCTATTTGTAATTATTGCAGATCACCAAGGACAGGTCTCTATGCCAATCTTAAAAAGTACAAACTGCCGTATCCAGAAGCAATTTTCGACATTAATTTTTTCAAACGACGACCTTCCGCATTTTATGCTTTGGCCAAAGAATTGTATCCCACTGGAAAGTACCGCCCAAATATTGCCCATTATTTCTTCAGGCTTCTCTACCAAAAACGAATACTCAGACGCGTTTATACACAGAATATTGATGGCTTAGAAAGAGGTATATGCCCATATACAAGTCAAAGTTTGGTTTATACATATTGTTAGCGACATAGTTTTGGCCTTTCTTAGTTGCTGGTGTACCTCCAAGCAAATTGGTTGAGGCCCACGGAACATTCGCTACAGCGCGGTGTCTTCAGTGTGGAAGACCGGTTCCCGCGAGGGTTGTCAAGGTAAGAGCATGCGTCCAGTGTTGTCACGGATTTTGTTCATCTAATCATAACCTCCAGTTTATCACTACTGACCTTCATATTTATCTGATTCATTATTAATGTTAAAACATAGAGTTTTATGTTAACACTAATTTATGTATTCCTCTTTAAATACATATGAATATTGCTCGAATACTTTATGCAAATAAACCATCTTGAATTATGTTGATTTTCGATGCATTAGGCTAAAGTCTGCACGTTTTTAATTCATTTTATACAGTAACAAATCGACTTTATTCTTCTTGTCAAATTCCTGAAGCCTGGTGATTAAAATGTTAAAATCGAACTTCATTCGACTTCATACGTGAAGGAACTCATGGTGGGAAAACTGATTTTAAACCTAGTAAACTGAACTTCTGGCTGACACGTTTTGTTCAATTTGTGAAAATAATTTATGAAAAAAAAACTATGGTTGTTGAATTCACCAATTACACCAAGTTATATTGAAATCCATTGAAATTTGATTTCTTTAACTACTGGCGTAATGACGTCCACTTTTTCATTGTTCGCAAATTTATTATTATTCCACTTTATTGACAATGGATGACCAGATGCGTTGTTTTATAGTATCAAAACAGCTTTTAGACTTGCAGAGGTGCTTAATGTGCGTTATAATTTAGTAGAATTGTAATTTACGTCGAAATCACCAACTACTTCAATTTAGATTGCCCAACAGCCATTGCTCCACTCTCCCTTCATGGTGTGCCCTTTCGACGCATGCGTATTTATGGATTGCTAGTAGGAGCAGTAAAGATTGGTTGTGTGTTACAACCAATAACATTTTATGGGACTGACGTCTACTGATGAGCCTTCACTAACATTAGTACTATCTTCAATTCCAATTTGATGAAAATAAACAGCAAATCGCCATAAAATTTGCAACCGAATTTTAGTGAATTTTTAAAACGCCATCAACAGGGGCTATGTCTAGTAAATGTCGTCCCGAAATTCCCTGCTATGGTGACTATCTTGCTTCCAGTTTATCTTTGTGGAGATATTGACAAGGAAGCAAGGTGTTGGCGAATTATTGTATTAGGAACAACGTGGACTACCTAGTGACAGGTTTTAGTTGATATTAGCCAACCAGCGATTGCTTTGTGGCCTTGGAAATGCTATGCGAATGACCGTCACTGTTGCACTAGTGTCCATGTTTTCCAGTTGGGTGTTCTAGCTAAATAAATTTGCCCTAATTTTATTCTTAGACGGCAATCGATCACGGTAAGGTGGCTCGATGTTTTCGTTGCAAGGGCCTTGTAAAACCGGATGTTGTGTTTTTCGACGAGGCTCTACCTCAGAAGTTCTGGCGCTACCGCGAGGATATCCCCAAGAGCGATCTTATTTTTGTAATGGGCACTTCACTAGAGACACAACCCTTCTCCAAGCTGGTAGCTGCCTCTCGTCCAAACACACCCAGGATTCTCCTCAACAAACATCCTGTTGGACCTTTCAAGCAACGTCACAAGCCCAATGATCTTGTTGCTCTTGGTATGCTTTCTGCTTACTAAACCCTCACGTTAGGCGGTTTCTCAAAGGAGTAAAAAACTGTGTATTTGTTGGTCTTAGGTGATATAAGTTGTCTCATTCGAGAACTATGCACACTACTCGGTTGGACTGATGATCTCGAAAATCTCATGTTAGAAGCCGAGCTTAAGCGTGTAAGTTCTATTGAAGTCATGATCCTAGCGCATGCGATAAAACACACCACTGGTTATATTATTTCCTTCTAGATTGACTACATTGGCTTGGGTACGACGGAGTTGATCACGAAGTCAGGCCACTCGCAAGACGAGCTTAAAAACTGCGATACACCAAGACATCTGGAAATTTTCGCTCAACCGTCCCCGTACTCTCCACTTGTTTCGAAAGCTGGTTTTGACAAGGAGTTGAATGTTGATCGTTGCGTTGTATATTCGGGATTAGCAACTGCACCCGCATCTCCCGAATTGCCGAATGACCGTTGTAGGAAGGCCGCAAAGTTCTTTGTAGGATATCTGGATGTAACTCATGCAAACATGACGCGTCTTCGTCATTGTCGATTCAGCTCGGTGCCGCCTTATCGTTCTGATGACGAAGAGGACTTGAAGAGCCGAGGCTACACTCCCAACATGCACAAAGCAGACGCCGGTTTGCTCTCTGATGCATTGTCCGAAATGCGCCTGACCGTGGACTCTCGATAATATGGCTTTTAGTTCGCTTTTACTCCACGTCGCAACTGCCTCCGCCTGTTTTCTCTTTAATTTCGTTTGAAAGTAGTTAATTTATAATATTAAGTAAATAGATTGATTTCTCCTGTCAACTTGAGTTAACCAGTTTAACCAACATCCTCTGTTTTTTTTTGCGTGACTGAACTGCATTACCTCAGTTCACGTCACCTCAATATTATAATAAAAGGTAGAACTGGTTTTTTGGTAACTGTAAAATTCTTGCTGCACAAGCATCTTGGTACAAACAAGCGTCTTTATTATAGCGTTGATTTACAGGACCGAGATGCCGATAGGTATCCTTGGTAAAAGAATTGGAACTCGATAACGCATGCTCTTCGAACAGATGAGGATTACCTTGGTAGGGTCGTTTTTCCGAAGCTTGGCCAAACAAACTTGACCAAAGTCCACGCTGCCTTATAGGACGCCAAGACAGGTGCGCGTATCCCGGTCTGAGAGGTAACTTGTGATCGACTAGCCTAGCATAATTTCATTTTCATTAGTGCACAAATCAAAAGGTTATTTTCACCCCATTTTCGGAAAACTCAGGCTTTCATAGCACCCACAGTAAACATGCAAAGTCATCTCAGAAATCCAAGAGCTACGTTGGCTTCAAAACTGTCCGTTGAAAAAAGCTTGCATTAAATTCGTCGGAATTTGTCCGTAGGAAGCAGGTTACCAGCTTGCGATTGGCTACACGACCCACTTTATTATCTAAATAAATGATGCGTCTTAAAGGATGAAATTTTGTAAAAAAAATGAGGGTATAATACGATGACAATGCCTCTTTTTAGGTGCTCAGCTTGCTCCCTTAGTTGATACAGTTGTAAAACAGCCAATCAAGATGAATCAAACTGAGTACAGAGAAAATTGCACTAAATATCCAGTCCGGGAATTTGTTTTGAACACAGTTATTTGTGGAAACATGCAGAAATGAATAATAAATCTTTAATATGCCTAGTAATTTCGTTGTGTTCTTGCTTAAATGTCCGAAACTTTTAGTACAATCACGACTAGGTGCATGTTAACGCTAATTTACTATACGATAATTATTCTTTCCCCTAGAAGTCAACAGTGGCTCGCTAACAATGATAATCATAAATATATTCGTCAATAAAACCTTAAATCTAAATATCTAAAATCGGGTCTTTTGAAATCCAATCCCCATCATGTGCAAACGAATAACTGAAACTCATGTCCGTACTTAAATGCCATTGCACTACACTTAGTGCGAGTGATTGCGAAGCAAGCACCCCTGAAATCTCAATGTTTATTGGACGGAAATGTATGATCGCTGTTGCTGAGTGCAAGAATGGCCCGTACTGTGGTACCTGTTGGTCTGAAGGTATTGGCAGGTCGGGTAGAGAGCTGATTTACATCATTGGCGTGATTGTAACTCACAAACAACTAAGCAAGCTTTTCTTGGATTTGAAAGATTTTACAGGTGAATGGGAGGTCGATTTTTAATACCAAAAATGCCCTTCATTTAAATGCTTAGGCCTGAATAATTTACGTTCATGCAAATTCGTAGGAGCTACATTGCCAAGACATCTTCTGTAAAATATCCCGCTTTCTAACCATCTTGAATGCATTGTGGGAAATTGACCATGACCAGTAGGCCGCTATTTTTTTCTTGAGAAGGAACTAAAAATATCAAGCGCAAGACCCATAAACAAATTCGAAGTGGCTGCTGACGTACTATCGACGACACAACCACTGCAAATGCAAATGAAACCTTCACCGTAAGTCCTTGGGACTCAGTTTGCTGTTCCTGTTTACACGCTTACTGGGAGGTTCTGTTGAAGTATAGATTGAGCATAATGCCGAAACCACTTTATTAAACTGATGACTGAAGTAGGGTGGTGAATCGCGCAGATTCTTATTCATCAACTCAGTTGCCACATACTCCGACACGTCGCCCACTTTTCACAGAGTCTTTACCAACCATTAACACATCAACGAAGAAATTACCGCAATTTTATTTTCAAGAAAGCTAAACTGAAGCTCAGTTAGAGACCTTAATATTACGACTGCGTGAATTCTAGAATTCAGGATTTGGGCTTTGAATTTGCATCGTTAAATACTAAAAAGGAATTAAATGGAACCAGAAAACACTAATTAATCTATAGTGAGATCAAGTTAACTAGATTTATCGTCAACTACTATCAAAGTACTTCAACCCCGCATTTTTAGACATAATAAATCGGTGAACAAATAGTTTTTATTAGCAAAAATACCAGTGGCTGCAAAGTTTCTTAGTGTTTTCTCAACTTTTTAGGATCGACCGTAGGCCGAAATATTTAGTAGTGATAATTTTGTTTTGATTGATCTACGTTGACGTACATTCTTTGAAATGTGGTTCAGGTTGTTTCTCGCTTTTGTGTGTTCTTACTTAAGTTTTGTCAGTTCCACAAGTAAGTGAACGTTTATTTGTCTTGTAACAATTTAAGACACTAATGCAGTAACCTGTGGTTCAATAATCAAGTTAGTAAATACAGATTATGATGTGCGTCTACACTCCCATGATGTCAATTATGGATCCGGAAGCGGACAACAGTCAGTCACAGGTTTGAAGGATGTCACAGATGCTGGAAGTTATTGGCAGGTAGGTTGCTTTTGAAATATGGTAAAACATTTGTAGTATTTGGCATTCATGTGACGTCGCTTATTTCTATATTGGCCAGCTCTTCAATGTGTTTTTAAGGTCGAGAATTGTGTCTCAATCATTGCACCTTTCTGGTGAATTTTTGCCACTTATTGTATTTTGCCTCGCATTGAATATTGGTGGACATTAGTCTTTCTTATATGAATGCTCACATGGTTACTTCGGCCTTTAATCCTGGAACTGCCAATAAAACGTCTTTTTTTAATGATTCTGTTCCTATTTATGGTTAATATGTCTCTATAGTCGAATAACACAGCACTTATAGATGAGTCTTTGTATTCGCTTACTTCAGTTTATGTAAAGGGTGTCATCTTAAGTCCTTAGATTTCGGCCACTTGTGGATAGTGTCTTTTGAATTTACTGATTTTTGCACAATGTAGTCGTTCACTGACTTTTAATGCATTTTTATCGTCGATTTGCCCAGGTAAAACTTGAGGATAAAAACACTGATTACTGTCGAGGTCTTCCCATCAAATGCGGCCAAATTATTCGTCTTACTCACTTGTCTTCGAAGAAGAATCTTCATAGCCATCACTTCCAGTCGCCCCTTTCCCGTAATTTTGAAGTTTCAGCCTTTGGACAAAATGGCATTGGGGATGAAGGTGACTATTCTTCTTTTTTATCACAATCTGTTCACGCTATTTAATCCTTGTGTGTTTAGGTGATAACTGGGAAATCATTTGTAACGACAAAACATGGATGAGAGAATCTGCAGTGAAATTTCGCCATTTATCGACGTCAGGGTATGCTCGTTATGCTGGCTGACAACTGTTTTTATTATGTTAGATATTTGCACGTGAGTGGTAGCACCTTCAGCCATCCTATTCCTGGTCATTTTGAAATTTCCTCATCCAAGTCAGTTTACGGCAGCTCCTGGAAAACAAAGGAAGGAGTTTTCATCCAACCATCAGAAGACAGTAAAACTCAGTACGAACCTAGACATGAGGATTTGTAAATTCAACAGGTGAAAGCAAATACTTTAAGTGCCTTTGCCGACTTTTCTTTATGTGTGCTAGTTTGTATGGATGTACCGGGGGGCCTGGAATGCCGAAGGTATTTAAGATGCTCGTCAAAAACTTTAGGTGGTATTTTGTCTATATATCTACGGATCTTGGTGATTTATGGATGATCCCATAGACTTTAGTTAGGGATTTTCATTCTGTGTTCTGCACCATTGTCAAGTTTGGGTGCAAACCTCGACATTTAGTTTACCCCGGATTTAGTTGCTAATGTCGTTCTGTTGTGCCTAACTTCTCTCTCCTCCTGCTGTTCCTAGTGTTACATTTTGAACGTTGCCTCTGGCAGTCGCGTCGTAAGGACTCCCTTATGATAGCAATCGTTGTCTTTCAGCAGATCACCGTCAGCCTTTCATCTTTCAATTGTTTCTGAACCATCGTTGGTTGCCGGAAACGCTTTTTGGTCTTTACAACGCTTCTCGTTAAAATGATGCGTTATTCAGTACATAGTCTTCGCATATGTTCTGTTTCCTATCTCATAATATCCACTTCACGGGCCCTTTGGTCTTGTGCATTAGGCGATCTGGGAGCCGTTTTTAGCTGTTATGGATGTGATGTGATTGGATAACTCATCTGATATTCAAAAGGACTTGGATTAATGGAGAAGGCCTTGAGTAGACTAATTAACGGGAATCACGACTGCGGGTCAATCCACCTAAAATGTTGCGTCCCACCAACCTTATTGAAGTGAACGGAGTCGTCAGCGTTGTCATCTTAGTTGATATTTTTTGCTGAGAGTCATGCCCACACACCAGATTGTCGGGACAGCATTTTCGTTCTAATCTGCTCGTCTTGCCCCCGGAGCTGTGACATAAGACGCTTCCATTACTACTTATAAGGGTTAAGTAATTTGCTTTGAATGATGAGATTAGTGGCATTATTTCTAGCGTCTGTTCATCGCGATACCTCATAAGCACAAAAGAAATAACAAACATTACATACACTTTATGCGTAAGTAAGGCAGACAAAAGCGTAAGAAATTATTATAGGAAGAGAAAGTACCAGAGGTCAGAACTGTCTGTCCCTACGTGCATTTTAGCAGCTTGCGTTGTGATAAGACAAGACAATTTGACTAATTATCACAGACCGGAGATGGAAGAAGAATTCTGTTGCTGCGGCGGTGGTTTTACGCATTCTTCACTACGTTGGAATGCGTGTCTGTCGGTCATACGCACCAAGATTACTAAAAGACGGCGCCCTGGATTGTGAAGTCGGCGTCGCCGCCCCACTCATTATTGTTAGAGGTTTTTTTACCAAGGCCACGCTGATGAGACGTTCCCATTGGTTCAAAAGTATAGTTGCCTTAAAAAGGAAACAAGAAAACAATCTTTACTACCAAAAGCAGTGCCTTCGTTTAACCAGCCTGACAAAATTATTCTTGATCGATGAGGGCGAGTTAGCGTTGTCTGGTTGTCGACAATAAGGGGATTGCAAAACAGGTTGTCAAATTGGGATGCTGACATGCACACAAAAAACCCTAGATCTTACCAGGTACACATGAGATTTAAGAAAAATAAATTATTTGTTGACTGTTCACATTGACGATAAATTGTGTGACCTAAGTATTCCATAGCCCTCAAGAGCTACGGGAACTCGAGCTTGCAAGCTTGTCTCACTGCAATAAGCTTACCAAATCCGTCTTGAAATTCCAGACCACGTCGCTGTCACCGTGACCTACACGAATAAGGAGACGGCTGATAAACTCAAGGTTGGCCACAATAATCAAAGCAGTAGTGAGTAAAACGCACCAGCAACGACGAAAGAGAAGGTATCCTCGTTGGCAACCTTGCACTTCTTAACTTGGTCGAGGGGAATGAGTTTCTGAAATTCCGAACACGTAGTTTAGGATTAGACTCATTACTTAAGAGAAAAATGTGCCTGGGGGCCTCACAGACTTATCGCCAAAGAGGAGCTGGAAGCCGTTCGGCCCGAGGTGTATCTGCCCTCGATCGCCCGTCTCGACGTCAACAACGTCCACCCGACCGCCAAGTTTTTGGACTGTTGGGAAGAAGGCCATAAAAGTGGGAATCAGGCTTAGTTGTGCTTCATGTGAAAGCGTTTTATAGATCTGCACACGCACACACACACATCCTCGCTTGCATATAAGAATGACGCCCTGTGACTTACTGGTTGTCTCCTAGTGCCCATACTTCTATGAAAACTTCCAAATTATCAAAGTTACCGCTACAACGATGAAACGTGGGATAATTTAAATATCAGAATGTTAGGGCATATTCTGCTTGACCTCATCGAGTTCTTTTGGCCTAGTATAAGCGGCAACGCAAGTGCAACGCATTTACGAAACCACACAACGGCAGAGTTTAGATGAAAATCAACTTTAATGCTGCAGTATTCCGTTAAACCCATAGACAAGTCCTGAGCGGTAGAACCCAATATCGTGACACCCTACGCCTCTCAACAACCTCAGGCTCAAATATACGTGCACACACACACACACACACAGAGGTTCAGCTATCACTTCCACATGACCCTTCGAGCTGAAAGTTAGTTGTGCACAAACAGTGGAGGTTCCTGCTGCGGGTGCCTCAGACAAAATCCATGACACTTATCATCTCAAGGAATTTCATTCGGGCAAAAAATAAAGTCAGTGTCAAAGTCGGCTTATTTTCGGTTGCGTGCTTGTTAAACCAATGTCAGTTGCACAATCTTATGTCAGGTTAACTAATACACGATGGAGGGGGCAAGGAAATATTTCGTAAAATCAAAACTAACTAAATGATGATGGTCTCTGGCGAAGTCAACTTTTGAGCTCTGGAGAATTGGCAAGTAGTAATTAGCGAAGAGATTAATCATAGAAGAAATGTGATGTGGGACAATTTAATAAAGTGCAAGGTCATGCAGCTGGGAAAAAGCAAAACTTACTAATTTGACCTTGCACGACCTTTGACCTCACCCGACCCATAGCCGATGCTATAGACGTAAACAGTAAACGTGTCTAAAAGTATGGAAGGGGAAAGGAAATTTGAAATAGAGGATACCACTGATAAAAACACCACTATTGACATGACTCATGACTACAAGCCAGTATTTACTTATTCCAGCCTCAGCAAGACGTGCCAAATACGTACGTACACACCGATTACAATTATTCACCGAAACGCCAAAACTCCGAGCGACGGGACGAACACTTTTACGTGATGAGTGCATGTTTTAATTGACGTCCACCAGAAGTGGTACGTGGTGTACAAACGGCCTTCCGGCAATCCGGTTTTTCGATAGCTTAGATGTCAATACCCCAAATAACACATTAAACCCTCCTAAAATCCAATGACAATGGGCTGTAGTGAACGTGGGTAACGACCTCACGATCCATCAACTAGAGACACTTTTGTCTACAATTGATGAGTGCTCCAAAGTTGGCAATCGACCTCGTAGAGTTTTAGCAGCTGTCGCACGATCACCTTTCTTCTTCATATTCACTTAATTGCCTTTGCATTAATTAAGTAACAAGAGAAATTTAATTACATAATTCCCTTATGTAGCATACATATCAGCTTCTAATATTTACGGAATGATTCCTTTTTTCACGAATGACTTTCTCAAGTAAACCCCTTCACTTGTTAGCGTTGGCAACCCGCCGACAACAACGCAAATACTCAACAATGAAGTTAAAACAAAAAGGGAAGCGTATTTTCTTACAAAGGAAGTAATTAGGCTATAAATATATTAGCGAGTGGACAAATGGTTTCGACAGTAAAATAAGTTTGGCTTACATTACTGGCCGTAAATATGAAGCGCTCGCGCGTCTTATCTACTCGAGTTTGGAAGCAGACAACATTTGTCTGAGGCGAGTGAGTCACATTGATTATCTGGTCGAACCACCACCGGCACACCGTGTCGCCGTTCAGCGAACGGATCAGCAGAAAATCGCTGTAGATCTTTTAACAAAGCAAAAGTCAATTAGTTGAGATTGAAATCAATTCATACACCCCGGCGTTTTAGTCACACAATGAAGAGTGATGGGACATCGTTGCGGTGATCGATGCGGGGATGTAAGAAAACAACAGTAAAAAAGTTAGTGTAGGGATGACCATACAAATCGCCTGACGACGTTGCTAAATGAAGATACATTGGGAGTTGTAGCGCGTGAGCAGCTGACTGATCCTTACCACATTGCAATTTTGCATTATTTAGCGCCAATCTGAGTCTTAATCTACTTTTCTCATTCTAATCAATGAGACTGGCAAATTCAAGCAAGGCTATAGGGCATAAAAAAGCATTTCAACTATCACACAAAAGGCAGACGTCTTGGTACCTTTGTCTTCCGATCCCTAAATGGCAACCGTGAGTAATACCGGGCTGTTCCCTTGGTCCAGAATTTACACACTCTGAGTTCAAAACAGCTAGGAAAGGAGCCTTCTGTGCAACCATGGGTCTTAGCAGAAAGCGATAATTTGTTGGATTCTTACAATGATGAACGGAACAATAGTTTGCATCGATGACTAGAGCTCGTTTCATTAAGTTAATGAGCAGGAGTTTGGAATTAACAAAACAGCGTTTCCAACTCCGTCTAGTCATTCCGATTATTTAACGGGAGAGACAGGGAAAGTTGATGATGGGTTCATTGAATGGACAAAATTCGTCAAAAGCTTGGCAGAGCCCGGAAAATAATTACCGAAAAATGTCAGCTTTTCAGTCCCCATTACCGTTGATTTGTTTCCAAATGAAATGACTGAAAAATTCACCATCTATGTACTATATCGGTTGCAAAAAAATCAAGTAGAGCTTCGATTCAAGCGCCAAATTGGCTTTGATTGGACTTATACGGTTGCATTCATTAAAGCAACGAGATGACTCTAAAACCACTTTGATAAAAAAAGCGTCAGTTTGACCCCAATTTCCTCTGGTATTAAGCTACATTTTTGTGAAATGCTTACATTTTTGTTAAATGCTTACACTACTCATTAGCTTCGTGGAA